ACTCTTGTGGTCACCGTCAGTTCTTTCCTTGATGATAGGAAGATTAATTTCTCTTCATCATAGGCTGCTTGGATTAAATACCGGTTTATCTCTTGTAACAGCTGGCAACCGACACAAGTGTAGGTGGTAATAGATGCATACATAGATTTAGATCTTAGAGAGAGAGAGAGAGACACACACACACACACACACACACACTCAGGGGGCGGGACCAAAGAGCCAGAGCTCAACCCCTGCAAGCACAAATGAGTACACACACACACACTTATTCATCATTGTTCATATTACTAATATGATTTTCAGGAGGGAAAGTTGATATCCCTCCAGTTCGCTTCCACGAGAATTATACGTTGGGTTAATTTTTCTCACCTTGAAGTGGTTCGAAGGATCAGTGTCTTGATCTCTGATCAGGTCTCCGGGTTGACTGGTAGAAAGTATAGTTGGCTTCGTACAGTGTATTTTATAAATTTTTATAAATTTATTTTATAAATCTTTATAAATTTAATTTATAAATTTTTATAAATTTATTTTATAAATTTTTATACATTTATTTTATAAATTTATTATTAGAGAAAATCCATACGAACCGTGAGGAAGATTCGAACCTGTACAGTGGGTATTCCCACACACACGCACCAGAATTCTCATCACAGCTTCACTTTACGTTTATGGGATTACTCTCTGTATATTATTATTATTATTATTATTATTATTATTATTATTATTATTAAGAAAAATTAATTGGAGTAAGTGTGGGGATTCGAACCAGCGATCTGGGTACTCCCAACTACGCATCTTACCCCTAGACCATTGATATATCACATTAGTGTGATTTCCTTGTGTATTATTATACGTATCCACACGTGCCTCTTTCCCCTTCCCTGCAGACCATGTTCGCTGCCACATTGGTAAAGAGTTCTGGCGTCACCTACTCGGGATTTCTATTTTCTGCATTGAATTTACAGCATTTGTGTGCGTTTTTGAGTGCTTCCTGCCGGTAGGTGCTCACGTGAGTCTCCCTCGGGCACTAAACCTTGCAAGGCTTGGTGAGTAACGTGGAAGAATTCAATCAGGCGTAGAGAGCTTTCATCAAAGGTTTGACAGCGGCTGGCTTCCTGCCTAGAGAGACCGTATGGGTCTGCGAGAAGGGCAGTCGTTCGCGCATTCTCCTGGTAAGGCAACTCCGGGTCACGAGGGTGCCTGGGCCACGGTGGAGGAAAACAGGTTGTTGTGGCAACTACACTACCTCAGGAAACACGTAACCAACCAGGATATACCTTTATATAAATTGTATCCGCAGTACATTTCCTAACTCCTAACATTACCAGATGATATAAGTAAACTTTGGCTGGATTTAGACTATCGATAAAGTTGTCTTCTGACATGAATACTGAGCAGAGGTCTTGATTCTCAACTTGGTTTATAGATTGAATAGGATTCTTGCATAGCATTGACCTCCAGTCTGTAGTGGAGGTGGAGGGAGCTGGGAACTCTTCCAAATCTATTCCAGTTTCTTGGTGAACACAGAATGGAGGTAAAAATTTAGAGCGGAAAGGAGTTTGCCAGCGCTGCCTTGAGGAAAGAAAGGTTATCCAGAGTCATGGCAAGTAAGTACTTATCTAGTTGTGCTTGCGGGGGTTGAGCTTTGGCTCTTTGGTCCCGCCTCTCAACTGTCAGTCAACTGGTGTACAGATTCCTGAGCCTGTTGGGCTCTATCATATCTACATTTGAAACTGTGTATGGAGTTATCTTGAGATGATTTCGGGGCTTTTTAGTGTCCCCGCGGCCCGGTCCTCGACCAGGCCTCCACCCCCAGGAAGCAGCCTGGTTGATACCTGATTGAAAGCCCGTGACAGCTGACTAACACCCAGGTACCTATTTTACTGCTAGGTAGCAGGGGCATAGGGTGAAAGAAACTCTGCCCATTGTTTCTCGCCGGCGCCTGGAATCGAACCCTGGCCCACAGGATCACAAGTCCAGCGTGCTGTCCGCTCGGCCGACCGGCTTCGGTCAGCCTCCACACATCACTGCCTAGTGCATTCCATCCGTTAACTACTGACACTGAAAAAGTTCCTTCTAACTTCCCTGTGGCTCATGTGGGTACTCAGTTTCCACCTGTGTCCCCTTGTTCGCGTACCACCAGTGTGTGTGTACTCACCTAGTTGTGCTTGCGGGAGTTGAGCTCTGGCTCTTTGGTCCCGCCTCTCAACTGTCAATCAACAGGTGTACAGGTTCCTGAGCCTATTGGGCTCTATCATATCTACGCTTGAAACTGTGTATGGAGGCAACCTCCACCACATTACTTCCTAATGCATTCCATTTGTCAACCACTCTGACACTAAACTGTGTGTGTGTGTGTGTGTGTGTGTGTGTGTGTGTGTGTGTGTGTGTGTGTGTGTGTGTGTGTGTGTGTGTGTATGTGTGTGTGTGTGTGCGCGTGCGTGCTGAATCATGGCAAGAATGCAAAATGCCATTGAACAAGTTCCTTCAGGATGTACTGGATCCGGCGACCGGCTGCAATGAACGTTTGGGACATTGCGGGGCGCTCCAAGCAACAGCCTTTTAGACCAAATTATCACAAGAGAATCCCGATCCTCATCTCCAACTTGTGGAGTACAAAAACTCTCGAAAGCGACAACAAGTAAATCCAGGAAATCTGCAGACACTAGTGTAAGACCGGACTCTGGAGCCATACCACAAGCCGGGTGAAATCAAACAGGTTCATCACCAGTGTTTGGCAGATGAATATAAACCGGTTGGGTTTTGTATGGAAAGTTGGTGAGGGTCTCGAGTTACAGTATGATGAGGACTGGAAGATTAGAACGAGATGTGCGGAGTGTTGGAGGGATGGGGGAGGTGGTCCTTTCTCCTCGACCTGTTCAACTGCCTTCTCCTCGTCCTGTTCAACTGCCTTCTTCTCGACCTGTCCAACTGCCTTCTTCTCGACCTGTCCAACTGCCTTCTTCTCGACCCGTCCAACTGCCTTCTTCTCGACCTGTCCAACTGCCTTCTTCTCGACCCGTCCAACTGCCTCCTGCTCGACTTGTTCACCTCCCTCCTGCTCGACCTGTTCACCTCCCTCCTGCTCGACCTGTTCACCTCCCTCCTGCTCGACCTGTTCACCTCCCTCCTGCTCGACCTGTTCACCTCCCTCCTGCTCGACCTGTTCACCTCCCTCCTGCTCGACCTGTTCACCTCCCTCCTGCTCGACCTGTTCACCTCCCTCCTGCTCGACCTGTTCACCTCCCTCCTGCTCGACCTGTTCACCTTCCTCCTGCTCGACCCGTTTGGAGTATAAAGTTCCATCTTGAACACAGAGATCTGCTAGTAGTCCTGCCGACTTCTATGTTTAGAAAATGTTGAAAAACTTAGTCCGTAATGTTTATCGAATTGTCACTTAGGATACTGGTCCCAGGCCTACGCTACAACGAGGCTGTTTGACGCATAATATTACGCCTTGTGGTCTCGTAAGGCATTATTTAAGTGTGCGGATTTGGAACTAGATGTTGACTCTCTCTCAGGTGTTTGACTGATGAAGATTAAGCCACCCAAGAGGTGGCACAGGCATGAATAGCCCGCAAGAGAGGCGTTTTAAGCGATCTATTAATATTGGCGTGAGTGGATTCTGACAGCTAAGGTTTATTAGCAATAGTGCATCTTCTCTTGAGGTTATCTTGATGATTTCTGGGCTTAACGTCCCCGCGGCCCGGTCCTCGACCAGGCTTCCTTTTTGTTACACACACCCCAGGAAGCAGCCCGTAGCAGCTGTCTAACTTCCAGGTACCTATTTACTGCTACGTGAACTGGGACATCAGGATGAAAGAATATCTGTCCCTTTGTTTCCGCCTCCTCCGGGGATCGAACCCGGAACCTTAGGACTACGAATCCCGAGCGCTGTCCACTCAGCTATCAGGCTATAAGGTGTATAGTGGAGTTTGGAATTTTGCTCTGGGTGTGTCCCAGATTTTACGAACGTGTTGGCATCTTGTGTAGGGATGGAAATGCTTTGTGCTTATCCTGATAAGCTGATCACAGCCTGATCAACCAGGCTGTGATTCGCACATCAGGCTGAGAGCACCCGCGTCCAAGAGCCTGGTTGACCAGTCCAGCAACGAGGAGGCCTGGTCGACGACCGGGCCGCGGGGACGCTAAGCCCCGGAAGCACCTCAAGGTAACTGAGAGATGGGGAACTATATGGACATATACGGTGCTCGCTTTTAATTGAAGTGAGTTAAAAAAAACTAATAAAACTTACACTGGAAGGGATAATGCAGGCAGCACTGCATTATAAAACGCAAGCACAGGCAATGACAAGTCCCTTGGGAGTAGGAATTTAAGTGCTTTTTACCCCACTTTTATTTCTAGGGGATAAACTAACCTTGGCTCCATCCTGGCCACAAGTTTAGCCACAGACGAGTGGCAACAAAATTGAGTTTAAAATGCGAGAGATTTTTTACTAAGAGGCAGTGTGCTGGGTAAATTTACACTAGGGGTTATATTATATATATATATATATATATATATATATATATATATATATATATATATATATATATATATATATATATATATTGTCTTGGTGTACAAGTGGAATGTACACCAAACAGTCTTAGCCCCCTCATCCCACACAAACAATCCTAGTAGAACAGCTTAGCACATTCCAAACAATTGATCTCTCGAGAGATCTATCTGATCTCTCGAGAGATCTATCTGATCTCTCGAGAGATCTACCTGATCTCTCCTGTTATACCATCAGGTGCTCGTGATCTCTCTTGCAATGACCTGATCGTATCCGTTAGTAATGTCGGCCTCCTCCCCCATTTCATCTGATCCAAACACATCTCTTTCTGCCTAATTCACCTCTTTGTGTTCAATACACGGTCATTTCTGGCTGTTTTATCCTACTTCTGGTTGACGTGTTCCTCCAAGAATGGGACACTGAGGAATGATAGTGTTATCATAGATGGAGAGATGGGAGAGGAGGTGCCTGTCTTGTTGAGATGGGTAAGATGATAAGGGTTGCTAGTGAGGGGGGCTAGGATTGCTTGGTATGTGTTAGGCTCTTGTACTAGGATTGTTTGTGTGGGGTGAGGGGGGCTAGGATTGCTTGGTATGTGTTAGGCTCTTGTACTAGGATTGTTTGTGTGGGGTGAGGGGGGCTAGGAGTGCTTGTATGTGCTAGGCTGTTGTACTAGGATTGTTTGTGTGGGGTACTAGGATTGTTTGTGTGGGGGGGGGCTAGGATTGCTTGGTATGTGTTAGGCTCTTGTACTAGGATGGTTTGTGTGGGGTGAGGAGGCTAGGAGTGCTTGTATGTGCTAGGCTGTTGTACTAGGATTGTTTGTGTGGGGTGAGGGGGGCTAGGATTGCTTGGTATGTGTTAGGCTCTTGTACTAGGATGGTTTGTGTGGGGTGAGGGGGGCTAGGAGTGCTTGTATGTGCTAGGCTCTTGTACTGGGGGTTGCTTGCGTGTTACAGTGGATAAGTAAGGTGGATCCAACGTACAATAAGTACAAATAACTGACAGTAGAACCAAACACACACACAGCCGACCCTAGGTCTACTTTAACACAAAAATTATAATATTGTGTAAATAATTATCAACAGAAGGCGCCAGCCTGGAAGACAATATATATTATTAATTTATATTTGAGAAAATATCGTGTTTACACATTACGGCAAAATTCATGCACAATGAAATCACATTAGCCTGGTTTATCAACGATAAACTCGGTAGAAACCATGAAGGGGATTCGAACCCGTTCATTAGTACTCCCAAGCCAACGCCCTAAACCACTACGCCACGACTAGCCACCACGATTCGTAGTTCTGAGGTTTCGGGTTCGATACCCGGTGGAGGCGGAAACAAATGGGCAGAGTTTCTTTCACCCAAATGCTCCTTTTATCTAGCAGGAAATAGGGACCTGAGGCCAGATTGACGAAGCAGTTACGCAAGTACTTAAGAACGTATATATCTTTCCTCAATCATTGACGGCTTTGGTTACATTTATTAAACAGTTTACAAGCATGAAAACTTCCCAATTAACTGTTGTTATTGTTATAAACAGCCTCCTGGTGCTTCGGAGCTCATTAACTGTTTAATAATTGTAAACAAAGCTGCCAAAGATTGAAAAAAAAGATGTACAGATTCGTAAGTGCTTGCGTAACTGCTTTGTGAATCTGGCCTCCTGGGAGTTAGACAGGACAAATTTACTAGGTTGCATTGCTTTTTACCGTGTCGTGGTGTAGTGGTCTAGGGCGCTAGCTTGGCAGTACCAAGTGTCGTGGTGTAGTGGTCTAGGGCGCTAGCTTGGCAGTACCAAGTGTCGTGGTGTAGTGGTCTAGGGCGCTAGCTTGGCAGTACCAAGTGAGCGAGTTCGAATTCTCCTAACGGCTCCAACAGATATTCTTCTGATGAACTCATGTTTGGGGGTCGGTCCCGGCTTGGACGGGCATAACCTGAGTAGTGCTGTAGTCAGCCAACTTGGGACTTGAAGTTAATGACAGCACATCAGAAGCAATCGCAAACTCAGTTGGCTGACAGTTTACACAGAGCTGTGTAAACAGTTGGCTGACAATTTACACAGAGTCGCTGGAACAACAACGGAAAGTTTCAAGAGACCTGGAAATGTTACTTCTGGAGTTACTGGATCAGCCTGGCAGTGTAGGCGATGAGTCACAATAACGTGGCTGATGTATGTTGACCAATCCACACACACACACACCAATCCCTGCGGGCCGCTGCAAGCAACAGCCTGGTGGACCAAACTCTCACAAGTCAAGCCTGGCCTCGAGCCGGACTTGGGGAGTAGAAGAACTCCCAGAACCCCATCAACCAGGCATCAACCAACCAGGTATTCTCAAGATCGACTTGAGAATGGTCCAGGACGGACCGAAACGTCATCGTCCCTTCACCCTCTGGTGTGTGGATTGGTCAACAGCCTAGCAGTGGTTTATGTGAGGGCTTCTTGTTAGGAAGACCAGAGAGCCTCGTAGGCCAGGTAGTTACCATAGGGAGGATACCTTACCTTAAGGTTACCTTGAGATGATTTCGGGGCTTAGCGTCCCCGCGGCCCGGTCGTCGACTAGGCCTCCTCGTTGCTGGCTACAGATCAGCTGCTGGAGTAGAACACTTTAAACCATCAACAGGAGTTTGGATGAACCCAGTTATACTTGAATGTTATTTTGTTTGGTGTTTAACACAGTAAACTCTTGTGTACATTATCAATGCTTTACAATATTTATTGTTTATTATACACACCTTGTAGTACCAAACTAGACGATTGGCCAATCCTTTTAGGATAAATCATGTCGTAATCCTAGTAAACAGATCCCAGATCTCTTGTATGATTCTTCAAGGTCGAGCCGAGATGGATTTGTAACTCAGAGATAGGATGTTTTCTTCAAGTAACATGAGTATCTTGTATGTTGTGGTTTAGTCTCCATCTTTCCGTCTTTTCTGAAGAACTACGACGTATTTGGTGCGGTTCCGTCGGCATCTTCATAACTCGGCTTTCTTAATCTTGCTAAAATTGATTTAAAAACTATCAAGAGCTTCTCCTGTGTGTGTGGGAGGAGCTGATCTCTTTTACAGTGTTGGGTAACACGATGTTTGCCGCGAGCCTTTGATGTCTTAGCTCGGATCACACGCTGTGGTGAGAAGGGAAGGGTAAGCACACACACACACACACACACACACACACACACACACACACACACACACACACACACACACACACACACACACACACACACACACACAGAGGCCTGTTTAGGGGCCTCGTAGCCTGGTGGATAGCGCGCAGGACTCTGTGGCGCGGGGTCGATTCCCGCACCAGGCAGAATCAAATGGGCAAAGTTTCTTTCACCCTGAATGCCCCTGTTACCTAGCAGTAAATAGGCACCTGGGAGTTAGTCAGCTGTCACGGGCTGCTTCATGGGGGTGGAGGCCTGGTCGAGGACCGGGCCGCGGGGACACTAAGCCCCGAAATCATCTCAAGATAACCTCAAGATGGAGGCTGTGAATCGCTGGATCAGAGGTATCAAAGGTTTAGACAACTGGAGTGATGTTCTTGAACAGGTAAAGAAGAGAGAGAGAGAACAAAATAAAAGAGGCGGAGTTAAGAGGAGTCTTCAGTCTTCGGAAGACTGAACGCTAAACTTTGGAAGAGGACTAAAAATAGGAACTGGGGGGAAAAAGGGGAGGGTCTAAAATCAGACGTGAGGGAACTGTGGAAGGTAAGAAAGTGGTCTGAAAGTGAAGATGGAAGGTTTCCAGCCAAAGTTAAGTGGCGATCCTGGAAGCAGGCGACTAGAGAGAGGCTGGAAGATCTGAATTGGTCAGCCACAGTGGGATCGGAAAGGCGCGAATAGAATTGATAACGGAGACAAAGAATCTGAAAGTTTGGCTATAGGTTTAAGCTGGCTGTCTCTCTGTTTCGCAAATATCTTTTCCTTTAAAACCCTCCTGAAATAAATTATACGTAACTGGTTGGTGTCACATTTGGCTGAATTATAACATCTTCACTACTATGCCGCCGTTCCACAAATATTTCCATGTAGGGTTGACAGGGAAGAGTAATAGCAATTTAAAGGTCTGATTAGTGTCCTCCGTTACAATATTTGGTTAAACTGCCGGAACAACCGTGGGCATCTTCAAGAGAAAACTAGATTGTTTTCTTCAAGGAGTGCCGGACCAACCGGGCTGTGGTAGGTATGTGGGCCTGCGGGCGGCTCCAAGCAACAGCCTGGTGGACCAAACTCTCACAAGTCAAGCCTGGCCTCGGGCCGGGCTTGGGGGAGTAGAAGAACTCCCAGAACCCCATCAAGCAGGTATACTGAATTCTATACTTTTTTTTAAGATATAACCATGGATTGAATGGTATTTGGTGATGGAATGATTCCGATACTTAAGCGGATACTGAGCTAATTAATTTTTTTTCTCTCAGCTTCAGTGTTGGGGGAGAAAAACTCCACACACTAATTTTTGAGTGCAAATGTTGAGTGTGTCTGCTTCCTGGTATAGCATGAGTAGGTACCAACACGCTGGTTCAAGTGAGTGCATGTGTTGAGTGCATCTATACTTTCTGATTATTTACGACTTATAACTATGCTCTTCAAACACCTCTATTACCAAAGCACCAACCGGAGTGTAATGAATATGTGAGATGCCAGCCACACCAAGTAACAGCCTTCTAGATCAAGCCTGGGTCCAGGCAAGAGAGAACTGGATAAGCACCTCCAAAGGATATCTGATCAACCAGGCTGTGACTCATACGTCAGGCTGAGAGCAGCCGCGTCCAACATCCTGGTTGACCAGTCCAGCAACGAGGAGGCCTGGTCGACGACCGGGCCGCGGGGACGCTAAGCCCCGGAAGCACCTCAAGGTAACCTCAAGGTAGGCCTGAGCCTGGGAAGTAGAAGAACTCCCACAACCCACTCCAGGTATTCTCCAGGTAAATCCAAGTACACTCCAGGTATTCTCCAGGTAAATCCAAGTACACTCCAGGTATTCTCCAGGTAAATCCAAGTACACTCCAGGTATTCTCCAGGTAAATCCAAGTACACTCCAGGTATTCTCCAGGTAAATCCAAGTACACTCCAGGTATTCTCCAGGTAAATCCAAGTACACTCCAGGTATTCTCCAGGTAAATCCAAGTACACTCCAGGTATTCTCCAGGTAAATCCAAGTACACTCCAGGTATTCTCCAGGTAAATCCAAGTACACTCCAGGTATTCTCCAGGTAAATCCAAGTACACTCCAGGTATACTACACAAAATAACCTCTGTATTTTTCCTCAGGTATTAACCGATACCAGGACGTAGAAGTAGACGATCTACCAGTAGAAGTAGGGGGAGTAGAAGAACTCCCAGAACCCCATGAAGCAGGTGTGCGATATACTATGTTTTTGTTTGATGTGACTGAAGAAAGGTAGGTAAACACAGGTAAACAGGTGCATGTATAAGCTTGTATAAGACTTCCAGCGCCGTGGAGAGGGGGGACCTGCTGCATGGGTAACAGCTTCTCCCCCGAGTCAACCTACCCTGGCTTTGTGCCCTGGTGAGGCCACTCCAGACCGACAACCAGAGCGCAACTCCATAGTCTCCTGAGACTGATGGATGCCTACTATAAGGAAACATATGGAGAAAAATATCAGTTACTCGTAGGCTCAAAATGACGTTACTTAACTGAGTAAATCATAAAGATGAAAATGGCTGGAATTCCTGAATACTGTTGTTGTTATGGGAACGAGCTATAAGGTGGTTCTAGATGGCTATAACGGGCAGGTTATAGGTGGTAGGCAGCTATATGGGGCAGGTTATAGGTGGTAGGCAGCTATATGGGGCAGGTTATAGGTGGTAGGCAGCTATATGGGGCAGGTTATAGGTGGTGGTACTTGCCAGAGTAAGGACGTCGACTGGCGCGGAGATCGTAAACGTAACAAAGTAACATTGGTGCGGAACACTGCGGTGTGGGTCAAGGAACGGCTTTGTGGAGCTGCGTGATGATGATTGATGTGTTGGGAGCGTGACAGCGTGACACATGCCCTGATGTATGGCTGGCCTCGGCCGCCGCTCCCAACGGCCGGTTCATCTCCCCTTGATGCTTTGGTCATCATCCAGCCTCTCTCATCTCTCGTGGAAGCTCTGGTTATCAACCAGCCTCTCTCATCTCCTGTTGATGCTTTGGTCATCTACCAGCCTCTCTCATCTCCTGTTGATGCTCAGGTTATCAACCAGCCTCTCTCATCTCCTGTTGATGCTTTGGTCATCTACCAGCCTCTCTCATCTCCCGTTGATGCTCTGGTTATCTACCAGCCTCTCTCATCTCCTGTTGATGCTCTGGTTATCAACCAGCCTCTCTTCTGCTCTGTAGGGCGACTTGCCTATTAGTGTCTTCAAGAAAGTGAGCTCTAGCTCTTTATGCCTCGCCTACTAACCTACCTTGAGGTGCTTCCGGGGCTTTGCGTCCCCGCGGCCCGGTCGTCGACCAGGCCTTCAAACCTTGTCGAAGCTGTTGCGTTGAAATTTAAGTATTCTGACGTCCGAATTCTTTATCGAATCTGGTCTTAAAGTTGAGGATGGAGGTGGCTTCCACAACTTGTTCTTTTAGTGGGAAGAGGCTTCGTAACGAGATGGTAATCCTTCGGTCAAGAGTTCATCTCTTACCTATATGAAGGGGAGTACAGTGTGTGTCAAGAACTAGCTTGACACACCCTAACACAGGACAGGTTATATAGGGTGTAAGGAACACCTTAACACCGCTCAGGTTGTATAGAGTGTAAGGAACACCTTAACACCGCTCAGGTTGTATAGAGTGTAAGGAACACCTTAACACCGCTCAGGTTGTATAGAGTGTAAGGAACACCTTAACACCGGACAAGTTGTATAGGGTGTAAGGAACACCTTAACACCGGACAAGTTGTATAGGGTGTAAGGAACACCTTAACACCGGACAAGTTGTATAGGGTGTAAGGAACACCTTAACACCGGACAGGTTGTATAGGGTGTAAGGAACACCTTAACACCGGACAGGTTGTATAGAGTGTAAGGAACACCTTAACACCGGACAGGTTGTATAGGGTGTAAGGAACACCTTAACACCGCTCAGGTTGTATAGGGTGTAAGGAACACCTTAACACCGGACAGGTTGTATAGGGTGTAAGGAACACCTTAACACCGCTCAGGTTGTATAGGGTGTAAGGAACACCTTAACACCGGACAGGTTGTATAGGGTGTAAGGAACACCTTAACACCGCTCAGGTTGTATAGGGTGTAAGGAACACCTTAACACCGGACAGGTTGTATAGGGTGTAAGGAACACCTTAACACCGCTCAGGTTGTATAGGGTGTAAGGAACACCTTAACACCGGACAGGTTGTATAGGGTGTAAGGAACACCTTAACACCGGACAAGTTGTATAGGGTGTAAGGAACACCGCTCAGGTTGTATAGGGTGTAAGGAACACCTTAACACCGCTCAGGTTGTATAGAGTGTAAGGAACACCTTAACACCGCTCAGGTTGTATAGAGTGTCAGGAACACCTTAACACCGCTCAGGTTGTATAGAGTGTAAGGAACACCTTAACACCGGACAAGTTGTATAGGGTGTAAGGAACACCTTAACACCGGACAAGTTGTATAGGGTGTAAGGAACACCTTAACACCGGACAGGTTGTATAGGGTGTAAGGAACACCTTAACACCGGACAGGTTGTATAGGGTGTAAGGAACACCTTAACACCGGACAGGTTGTATAGGGTGTAAGGAACACCTTAACACCGCTCAGGTTGTATAGGGTGTAAGGAACACCGCTCAGGTTGTATAGGGTGTAAGGAACACCGCTCAGGTTGTATAGGGTGTAAGGAACACCGCTCAGGTTGTATAGGGTGTAAGGAACACCGCTCAGGTTGTATAGGGTGTAAGGAACACCGCTCAGGTTGTATAGGGTGTAAGGAACACCTTAACACCGGACAGGTTGTATAGGGTGTAAGGAACACCTTAACACCGGACAAGTTGTATAGGGTGTAAGGAACACCTTAACACCGGACAGGTTGTATAGGGTGTAAGGAACACCTTAACACCGGACAGGTTGTATAGAGTGTAAGGAACACCTTAACACCGGACAGGTTGTATAGGGTGTAAGGAACACCTTAACACCGCTCAGGTTGTATAGGGTGTAAGGAACACCTTAACACCGGACAGGTTGTATAGGGTGTAAGGAACACCTTAACACCGCTCAGGTTGTATAGGGTGTAAGGAACACCTTAACACCGGACAGGTTGTATAGGGTGTAAGGAACACCTTAACACCGCTCAGGTTGTATAGGGTGTAAGGAACACCTTAACACCGGACAGGTTGTATAGGGTGTAAGGAACACCTTAACACCGCTCAGGTTGTATAGGGTGTAAGGAACACCTTAACACCGCTCAGGTTGTATAGGGTGTAAGGAACACCTTAACACCGCTCAGGTTGTATAGGGTGTAAGGAACACCTTAACACCGCTCAGGTTGTATAGGGTGTAAGGAACACCTTAACACCGGACAGGTTGTATAGGGTGTAAGGAACACCTTAACACCGCTCAGGTTGTATAGGGTGTAAGGAACACCTTAACACCGGACAGGTTGTATAGGGTGTAAGGAACACCTTAACACCGCTCAGGTTGTATAGGGTGTAAGGAACACCGCTCAGGTTGTATAGGGTGTAAGGAACACCTTAACACCGCTCAGGTTGTATAGAGTGTAAGGAACACCTTAACACCGCTCAGGTTGTATAGAGTGTAAGGAACACCTTAACACCGGACAAGTTGTATAGGGTGTAAGGAACACCTTAACACCGGACAGGTTGTATAGGGTGTAAGGAACACCTTAACACCGGACAGGTTGTATAGGGTGTAAGGAACACCTTAACACCGGACAGGTTGTATAGGGTGTAAGGAACACCTTAACACCGCTCAGGTTGTATAGGGTGTAAGGAACACCGCTCAGGTTGTATAGGGTGTAAGGAACACCGCTCAGGTTGTATAGGGTGTAAGGAACACCGCTCAGGTTGTATAGGGTGTAAGGAACACCGCTCAGGTTGTATAGGGTGTAAGGAACACCGCTCAGGTTGTATAGGGTGTAAGGAACACCGCTCAGGTTGTATAGGGTGTAAGGAACACCGCTCAGGTTGTATAGAGTGTAAGGAACACCTTAACACCGGACAGGTTGTATAGGGTGTAAGGAACACCTTAACACCGGACAGGTTGTATAGGGTGTAAGGAACACCTTAACACCGGACAAGAGTTTATCGTCTCGTTGGTCCCGGTCACAAACGGGTTATGCTTTTACCCGGCGCCATTTGTCCAGCCACAAGTGCATCCGTTTGGTATTTACTGTGTCAACACTGCTGTGAGCGGCGGCCGGCCACTGTTGGGTGGGGCTCTTGTTAGCATGAGCAGCTCCTCCTTCCCCCTCTTGCCCTTCCCCCTCCCTCCACCCCCATTATAACCCCCTCCCTCCACCCCCACTATAACCCCCTCCCTTCCCTCCCCTCTGCCTCCCCACAAATACCCATCCAACGCCCCTTTTCCACGACCCGTTCCTCTTCTACCTACCCTTGTGTTGACCCCCTCCCACCACCCTGCTGCCCTTTCCCAGTAGCTGGAAAGACGGGGGTCCAAGAGCTGAAGCTCCATCCTTGCAAATACTCTTAGGCAAAAGAAGACAAATATATTCAATGACCCAATTTTTTTAAAAAAGCAATGGGGGTTTTTTTAAATGTTTATTTTGTTCCATTTCCAGGTAATTGATTCAAGGCTGGTGCCGGAACAGGAGCTGAGAGCACCACCCTGGCGGAGGGCGGAGTCTTGTGTGTTCTATTGTGTGTGTTCTATTGTGTGTGTTCTATTGTGTGTGTTCTATTGTGTGTGTTCTATTGTGTGTTCTATTGTGTGTTCTATTGTGTGTGTTCTATTGTGTGTTCTATTGTGTGTTCTATTGTGTGTGTTCTATTGTGTGTGTTCTATTGTGTGTTCTATTGTGTGTGTTCTTTTGGTTGTGTTCTTTTGGTTGTGTTCTTTTGTGTTTTGAGTGTGTTCTTTTGAGTGTGTTGTTTTGAGTGTGTTCTTTTGAGTGTGTTGTTTTGAGTGTGTTCTTTTGAGTGTGTTGTTTTGAGTGTGTTGTTTTGAGTGTGTTGTTTTGAGTGTGTTGTTTTGAGTGTGTTGTTTTGAGTGTGTTGTTTTGAGTGTGTTCTTTTGAGTGTTTTTTTCAACAATTACGTTCACAAATCTCCAAGTGTGAACGTGTGAAAGAATGTAATATTTTCATTTGTCTCTTTTGGTCTCCAACATTGGACGTTTCTCCTTCTGCCTTTTCTGTTTATCAGATGTTTTTCCTATTCTCCCGTCTTATCTTATCTCTCTCCGTCTCCTCCTCCTCTGCTTCTGCTCATTGTGCTTCGCTTCTTCCTTCCACACCCTCTTCCTTCCCGCCTCTTCCTCCCTCTTCCTACCTCTTCCGCCCCTTTTCCTCCTCTCTTCCTTGCCCCTCTCTCCTACATTCTTCCCGTTTCATATTACCACCTTCAGGAATTCCTTTCTAAGTCGTTATTGCCTTTTATGAGCTACGACGATGCCAACAGTGTTGTGAGGGAGGGAGAGTGTGTTGTGAGGGAGGGAGAGTGTGTTGTGAGGGAGGGAGAGTGTGTTGTGAGGGAGGGAGAGTGTGTTGTGAGGGAGGGAGAGTGTTGTGAGGGAGGGAGAGTGTGTTGTGAGGGAGGGAGAGTGTGTTGTGAGGGAGGGAGAGTGTTGTGAGGGAGGTGGTGGGGTGTGTACTGGGTACAGGCCAGGTTTACTTATTGAACTTAAGCCCGACTCTTTAAAGTTGAATGTGAGTGTCGCCTGTGAGGTACTCACACACACACTCACACACTCACACACACACTCACACACACACACACACACACACACACACACACACACACACACACACACACACACACACACACACACACAGTATGCAGCTCCAGCCTGGAGTCTATACCTAGTTAAACACAAGACAATGTTAGAGAAGATTCAGCAGTATGCCACCAGGCTCGTCCCGGAACTGAGAGGATTGAGCTACGAGGAAAGGCTAAAGGAGCTGAACCTCACATCCCTGGAGAACAGAAGAGTAAGGGGAGACATGATAACCACCTACAAAATTCTCAGGGGAATTGACAGGGTGGACAAAGACAAACTCTTCAGCACGGGTGGGACACGAACAAGGGGACACAGGTGGAAACTTAGTACCCAGATGAGCCACAGAGACGCTAGAAAGAATTTTTTCAGTGTCAGAGTAGTTAATAAATGGAATGCACTAGGAAGTGATGTGGTGGAGGCTGACTCCATACACAGTTTCAAATGTAGATATGATAGAGCCCAGTAGGCTCAGGAATCTGTACACCAGTTGATTGACAGTTGAGAGGCGGGACCAGAGAGCCAAAGCTCAACCCCCGCAAGCACAATTAAGTGAGTACACACACACACACACACACACACACACACACACACACACACACACACACACACACACACACACACACACGCACGCACTGATGCTCTCTCTCTCTCTCTCTCTCTCTCTCTCTCTCTCTCTCTCTCTCTCTCTCTCTCTCTCTCTCTCTCTCTCTCTCTCTCTCTCTCTCTCTCTCTCTCTCTCTCTCTCTCTCTCTCTCTCTCTCTCTCTCTCTCTCTCTTTCTCTCTCTCTCTCTCTCTCTTTCTCTCTATCTCTATATATATATATATATATATATATATATATATATATATATATATATATATATATATATATATATATATATATATATGAAAATGAAAACTCACACCCCAGAAGTGACTCGAACCCATACTCCCAGGAGCAACGCAACTGGTAACTACTGAGGTGATTTGTTGAAATGCTATGCCCAAGATTACCATCCGAGTTGCCGTCGGGAAAGTGGCTCAAATAGCCTCGGCTATCACTTCCTTTTGACGGCCGTGATGGTCAAGTGGATTAAGGCGCCCTGTAGTTACCAGTTGCGTTGCTCCTGGGAGTATGGGTTCGAGTCACTTCTGGGGTGAGTTTTCATTCGCATATAGTCCTGGGGACCATTCAGGCTTGTTCGCATATATATATATATATATATATATATATATATATATATATATATATATATATAACCTAACCTAACCTAACTTTTTCGGCTACCTAACCTAACCTAACCTCTCAAGATAGGTTAGGTTAGGTTAGGTAGGGTTGATTAGGTTCGGTCATATATCTACGTTAATTTTAACTCCAATAAAAAAAATTGACCTTGTACATAATGAAATGGGTAGCTTTATCATTTCATAAGACAAAAATTAGAGAAAATATATTAATTCAGGAAAACTTGGCTTATTAGGCAAATCGGGCCTTGCATAGTAGGCCGAACAGTGCGTTCTGGCTACTAGGTACGACATATATATATATATATATATATATATATATATATATATATATATATATATATATATATATATATATATATATATATATATATATATATATATATATATATATATATATATATATAATATAAGGCATCAGTAGAGTACACGGCTCTTAGCGTCGCAAGCTTTCCAGTGTGTACTTACCGCGTCGTAGCTTTTGGGCAAATGGCAGTGTTGTAGCAGGTGTGTGGGGGTGCATGTAGGTGTGATAGGCAGCTTGAAGGTGTGTGTACACAGTAGCTATGGTGGGCCGCCAGCAGGAGAGTACACAGTACATATGATGGGCTGCCAACAGTAGTGTACACAGTAGGATGATAGGCAGCGTGCTGCTGCTGCTGGAGACGTTTGGGCTTAACAGTTTCTCAAACAAGGTCTTAGTCACCAAGACAGATAGAAACTATTGGTGTTGTAACACCAATTTACTCTCTTTACTCTCATTCAAGAAAACTCAAGAGTACTCTCATTTACTCTCATTCAAGAGAAATTTACTCTCATTCATACAAATGTGAATAAACACATACATATATGTGTACACACACACATACCCAGTTGATTGACAGTTGAGAGGCGGGCCGAAAGAGCAAAGCTCAACCCCCGCAAACACATTTAGGTGAGTGTATACACACACACACACACACACACACACACACACACACACACACACACACACACACACACACACACACACACACACACACACACACACACACTGAATTTCGTCCTTGTTAACCGTAACTATCCACCTTCCCCCATAACTATCAACCCTACCATCTTGAGCCGGTGGTTCCCCTCGGTGAACAAACATCCCCCCACAGCCTGAGGGAGGAACCTGAGAAGCTCCACTTCACCTCCCCTCACACCTTCGCGAAGTGTTAAGAGGGGAGAATGGTTATTGTGTCGTGTAGGATGTATCTGAGGGTGGGGGTGAGGGGTTGAGGGGTGGTAGGTAGGCTGGGGGGTGTAGTGTTGGGGGTGGTAGATTAGTGGCCCGGGAGGATAATTTTTACATGCCATGATTGTCGTTGACGTTGGTATGGTCACCATTAAAAGTCTCGTCTTACCTATATATCTCAAACCTTGAATATCCCATAACTCAAACAATAACCAGAAGACAAAATGAACAGTATTGTTATAAACATCAAGGGGAAGACAGAATAGTAGCGGACGAGGAAGGTATTCAAGGAGAGTTTAACGAGAGGTTCGTTTATTGCAGGATTAAGAAAGTGACAATTTGCGAGAGCTTAGCGAGCTTCGACACCTCTTCGAAGACGGCGCAGAGACACTCCATGTTTTGCCAGTAATAAACGCATAGAAAAGATTTGGTCGTGAGCAAGAACACACTGCAAACACTGGTAATTGTAAGGACTGAGTGTGGTGTATGATTGTACTGGGTTGGCAGACCTGAGTGTGGTGTATGATTGTACTGGGTTGGCAGACCTGAGTGTGGTGTATGATTGTACTGGGTTGGCAGACCTGAGTGTGGTGTATGATTGTACTGGGTTGGCAGACCTGAGTGTGGTGTATGATTGTACTGGGTTGGCAGACCTGAGTGTGGTGTATGATTGTACTGGGTTGGCAGACCTGAGTGTGGTGTATGATTGTACTGGGTTGACAGGACTGAGTGTGGTGTATGATTGTACTGGGTTGACAGGACTGAGTGTGGTGTATGATTGTACTGGGTTGGCAGGACTGAGTGTGGTGTATGATTGTACTGGGTTGACAGGACTGAGTGTGGTGTATGATTGTACTGGGTTGACAGGACTGAGTGTGGTGTATGATTGTACTGGGTTGACAGGACTGAGTGTGGTGTATGATTGTACTGGGTTGGCAGACCTGAGTGTGGTGTATGATTGTACTGGGTTGACAGGACTGAGTGTGGTGTATGAATTGTACTGGGTTGGCAGGACTGAGTGTGGTGTATGATTGTACTGGGTTGACAGGACTGAGTGTGGTGTATGATTGTACTGGGTTGACAGGACTGAGTGTGGTGTATGAATTATACTGGGTTAATAGGAAGATTTCTTACCGCAGGTCCAAAGCTTCTGGCTGGCCCACTAAGTGTTCCTTGTTTCTTGTTTTACTTAGGCGGTGTATGAGTATTTATGACTCGTATGATCGCTTCAGTAAGATTTTACCCCGTGTGTGTTTAACAACTTCTTCTGACACGTTGAATCTAAGTTGAAATCTTATTGGGTTTGTAACTGTGCACTGTGTTAGATAATGTTCCAGTGGTCTGTCGTGGTTGTAACTGTGCACTGTGTTAGATAATGTTCCAGTGGTCTGTCGTGGTTGTAACTGTGCACTGTGTTAGATAATGTTCCAGTGGTCTGTCGTGGTTGTAACTGTGCACTGTGTTAGATAATGTTCCAGTGGTCTGTCGTGGTTGTAACTGTGCACTGTGTTAGATAATGTTCCAGTGGTCTGTCGTGGTTGTAACTGTGCACTGTGTTAGATAATGTTCCAGTGGTCTGTCGTGGTTGTAACTGTGCACTGTGTTAGATAATGTTCCAGTGGCCTGTCGTGGTTGTAACTGTGCACTGTGTTAGATAATGTTCCAGTGGTCTGTCGTGGTTGTAACTGTGCACTGTGTTAGATAATGTTCCAGTGGTCTGTCGTGGTTGTAACTGTGCACTGTGTTAGATAATGTTCCAGTGGTCTGTCGTGGTTGTAACTGTGCACTGTGTTAGATAATGTTCCAGTGGTCTGTCAGTTCGAGACACACACACACTCACACACACACACACACACACACACACACACACACACACACACACACACACACACACACACACACACACGCACGCACTGTGTGTGTACTAGCGTGTGTGTGTTTGAAATAGAGGCGCGCAAAGGGTGGATTAAAACAGTGGATCCCATAAAAGGTGGTGAGGATTTAATGGCAAAACTTATAAGCGCTGTTCGGACCTAAAAGTTTTTCTGAGAATTAAGGTGTTTTATTTTGCCGAAAGTGTAGTCAAGAATTTTTTTTTTTTTTCTCAAGAGAGATAGGGAGGGAAGGAGGGTTAAGGAACAAGGGAGATAGACAAAAATAGGCAAAAAACAAACAAAAATCAACCAGACTTTGATTTATGCATCAGGCTGCGAGCAGCCGCGTCCAACAGTCTGGTTGACCAGACCACCAACCAGGAGGCCTGGTCAGAGACCGGGCCGCGGGCACGCTGATCCTCGGGACCATCGCAAGGTAACTGCAAGGTAAGGTAGGCGTGTTTAGGGGAAGGGGGGGGGGGACTGGGGAGGGACCTGCCCACATAGTCAATCCTTTACCATGAGTTGGTTTCCAGGATCAATGACCCCGCGGCCCGGTCTATTTTAAATAGTTCAAGATTAATGCATATTTGTTGACATTTGAAGGTTTGAGATTAGATTTGGCAACATTTACTATGAGCCTACTTGCTCACTATACATATACATGTGAACATGTATTGATCTCTACCCTCTCCCTTATACATGCGTACTCACCTAATTGTGCTTGCGGGGGTTGAGCTTTGGCTCTTTGGTCCCGCCTCTCAACTGTCAATCAACTGTGTATTGAGTCATCAATGCTAATTATCCTTAAACACAATTAAACTTAAAACCATTTCAGTCAAGACAATACTAACCCAAGCAGCGCGAGAATCATGAAGTGTTTTCTCAACCACCAACGAAACCTGTGCATCTTTGCCTTCACTCAACACGGCTTAGTTGACATTTATTAAATCATTTCTGAGCTCGGAAGGACTACCAGATTAATAACCTTTACAACCCAAGGTTATTACAATGATAACCTTGGGTTGTATTGTTTCGAGCTTGGTATTCCTGGCCCTGAGATTGGTACCCCTGGCCCCCTGAGCTTGGTACCCCTGGCCCCCTGAGCTTGGTACCCCTGGCCCCCTGAGCTTGGTACCCCTGGCCCCCTGAGCTTGGTACCCCTGCCTTGGTACCAACAGCGTCGACTGCAATAGCCCGCAGCTCAGATTTAAGGGATCATGGCTTCATTTTTATTTGTAATGTTGTGTGATTAAATCGTGAACATGACGGAGTCGTTCAGGCTCGGACCAGTTTACTGGTTGTGGCTCGGACCAGTTTACTGGTCGTGGCTCGGACCAGTTTACTGGTCGTGGCTCGGACCAGTTTACTGGTCGTGGCTCGGACCAGTTTACTGGTCGTGGCTCGGACCAGTTTACTGGTCGTGGCTCGGACCAGTTTACTGGTCGTGGCTCGGACCAGTTTACTGGTCGTGGCTCGGACCAGTTTACTGGTCGTGGCTCGGACCAGTTTACTGGTCGTGGCTCGGACCAGTTTACTGGTCGTGGCTCGGACCAGTTTACTGGTCGTGGCTCGGACCAGTTTACTGGTCGTGGCTCGGACCAGTTTACTGGTCGTGGCTCGGACCAGTTTACTGGTCGTGGCTCGGACCAGTTTACTGGTCGTGGCTCGGACCAGTTTACTGGTCGTGGCTCGGACCAGTTTACTGGTCGTGGCTCGGACCAGTTTACTGGTCGTGGCTCGGACCAGTTTACTGGTCGTGGCTCGGACCAGTTTACTGGTCGTGGCTCGGACCAGTTTACTGGTCGTGGCTCGGACCAGTTTACTGGTGATGGCTCGGACCAGTTTACTGGTGATGGCTCGGACCAGTTTACTGTTTGTGGCTCGGACCAGTTTACTGGTTGTGGCTCGGACCAGTTTACTGGTTGTGGCTCGGACCAGTTTGCTGGTGATGGCTCGGACCAGTTTACTGGTCGTGGCTCGGACCAGTTTACTGGTCGTGGCTCGGACCAGTTTACTGGTCGTGGCTCGGACCAGTTTACTGGTTGTGGCTCGGACCAGTTTACTGGTTGTGGCTCGGACCAGTTTACTGGTTGTGGCTCGGACCAGTTTACTGGTCGTGGCTCGGACCAGTTTACTGGTTGTGGCTCTGGTAAATATGAGAAAAATAAAGGATATTTAACAGACACGAGAAAGAAGTTCCCTAGCTAAGTCCTTATCATGAGAGAGGGTTGAGGGTGTGGCTGTGAGTATTTATTATGAGGGAGGGGCCCAGGGTGTGGCTGCGAGTATTTATTATGAGGGAGGGGCCCAGGGTGTGGCTGTGAGTATTTATTATGAGGGAGGGGCCCAGGGTGTGGCTGTGAGTATTTATTATGAGGGAGGGGCCCAGGGTGTGGCTGTGAGTCCTTATCATGAGAGAGGGTTGAGGGTGTGGCTGTGAGTATTTATTATGAGGTTCAGGGTGTGGCTGTGAGTATTTATTATGAGGGAGGAGCCCAGGGTGTGGCTGTGAGTCCTGTGATGAGGATGGGGCCCAGGGTGTGGCTGCGAGTATTTATTATGAGGGAGGGGCCCAGGGTGTGGCTGTGAGTCCTGTGATGAGGATGGGGCCCAGGGTGTGGCTGCGAGTATTTATTATGAGGGAGGGGCCCAGGGTGTGGCTGTGAGTCCTGTGATGAGGATGGGGCCCAGGGTGTGGCTGCGAGTATTTATTATGAGGGAGGAGCCCAGGGTGTGGCTGTGAGTCCTGTGATGAGGGAGGAGCCCAGGGTGTGGCTGTGAGTCCTGTGATGAGGGAGGGGCCCAGGGTGTGGCTGCGAGTCCTGTGATGAGGGAGGGGCCCAGGGTGTGGCTGTGAGTCCTGTGATGAGGGAGGGGCCCAGGGTGTGGCTGTGAGTCCTGTGATGAGGATGGGGTCAAAGCGGAATGTGGCAATAGAACAGAAATGACCCTATTACACATTTTCTTTTTCACAGCTCTCGGTATAGATTTAATATGAGGTAAGTTAGTCTCTTGTAGTTGTGAGGGAATAAGATGTTCCCTCACTGGTTATATCACGACTGTGTTAAGCTTTCAACTGAATCATTTACGAATGATCTTTAAACATATTTATTGCAAAGAGTGATTTTAAAATTGCAAAATGTGTAGAATATTGCAAGAGGTAGAAACGTTTGAGAATATTTTGACAAAGTCATAAATAGAATGTTGACGGAGTTGCAAAACTGTAAATTTTTCAACAAACCTCAGGAAAAGATTTTCGCAACATTTGAAGATATATAAACAGTCATATGCCAAGCCCGAGAAATTTACAGAGCAGCGGAAAATCCTGCAAAAGTTGCTTTGTGCAAAAACTCTTAGCATTCCTTTCTTTAACATATTCCCTCTCTGAAATCCTCTAGTCTTCTACACAAGGTGGAAATGCATAGAAAAATCACACAGTTGTGACTCTCCCTGGGAGTAGTGTGAACGGAAAGACTCGTGTCTGTATGGTCTGTGTGGACCATTCTCAAGTCGATTGAGAATGGTCCAGGACGGACCGAAACGTCGTCGTCCCTTCACCTTCTAGTGTGTGGTCTGTGTGGTGGACCTTCCATATGCAGGCGAGGAGTCACAATAACGTGGCTGAAATATGTTGACCAAACCACACACACTAGAAAGTGAAAGGACGACGACGACGTTTCGGTCCGTCCTGGACCATTCTCAAGTCGATGTGGTCTTCACTTTCTAGTGTGTGTGGTCTGGTCAGCTCTGGGAGTTTATTACCATAAAGACATATATAGCAGCTTTCCCAAAACTCAGTCGTGGAATTTACCACGTGTCAACTTTAAAAAAATAGAGAAAAGATGCATTTCCTTCAACATTATATTGCAGAATGTATCATGTTGGGACTTGTGGGCCCCAAGGCATAAAGCAATGTCCAAAGCAATCCTCCCACAGTCATTCCCTGATTCCCTGGTCATTCTCCCACACAGTCATTCCCTTGTCATCCCCTGATCCGCTTGTCATTCTCCCACACAGTCATTCGCATTCCCACTGGGTTAACATGTGCTGAACCCAGTAAACATTACCAGAATACCGGACCACTCGATATACCGGACCTGTAGGCAAGATTTACTGTCTAATGCATCAATTATATATGTACTATAATTACAACTTGAGCTTGTAAAAGGGCTTTAATCACGCTCTGTGGGCGAGTGCTCATTAACTCGCAACGCTATGCACTCGATTCCGTGTGGGGAGAAGGGGGGGGGGAGGGAACTATCAAGGAAAAGCGCCAAGCCCTACGACTATGTAGCACTTGGAAGGGGTCAGGATATTAGGATTTGGAATGGGACGGGGAGGGAAGGAATGGTGACCAACCACTTAGACGGTCGGGTATTGAGCGCCGACCTGCATGAAGCGGGACCGTCGCTCTACCGTCCAGCGCAAGTGGTTGGACAAAGAGGGGTGGGGGGAGAAAACAGAACACAATCTATACGTGATAACAAAAAATATATAGCAGAAGGTAATCCTTGCTTATCGTTTTTATAATGTGTTAGTGGTGCATACAATGCCATTCGTAGCACCTGAAGATGCCTCCTGGAGCCTCGCAGCGATGGTGATAGTGTCACCATATCCTGGTAATGGTGATAATAGCATTTAGGAGGTCGATAGTGGTGATAGTGGTGTCGATAGAGTCAAGAGAGCATCGAGTCTATACTTACTAGAAGAGCTGGAGCGTGTCGAGACGTCTCAGCTGGGAGAGGAACAAGACTCTACACGTTTCAACTGGTCGACTTAGAGGCCTCGACGCTGTAGGGGGGTTTAAGGAGAGTGTAATGGGAGACGATATGGTTGTACTGTAGTTGTTGGGCTGTGTCACGCTGTCGATAAAGCTGTTAACCTGGGATAGTATGAGTCTCTGTGGCTAGGCCAGGGTGTGGCTAGGCCAGGGTGTGGCTAGGCCAGGGTGTGTCGAGGCCAGGGTGTGTCGAGGCCAGGGTGTGTCGAGGCCAGGGTGTGTCGAGGCCAGGGTGTAGCGAGGACGAGGCATTGCTTTGGTAGCTACAAGGGAACGGACAGTGTTTAGCAGGGTTGGGGAGGCAGGGAGGAGGAGGCAGGGATAAAATGAACAAAAAGGAGAGATGGTACAGACACGAGAACACAACAATGGGCCTTCTCCACCTCCTCTCCCCACCACCACCACCACTACCACTAACGACCACTGTGCTCGTGGCAGCCCTGAACAGTGACCTTCACCTTGCAACCTAACCTAACCATCTAATGGATGCTCCTCCGCCCTTGATAAAGTTAAGCGTTTTGTCTTGCTCTCTGAAGATCAACTGGAGAGAAAGACAGTTAGAGCGAGCGTGAGGAGGAAGAAGTAGACAGGCAGAAACATGCGCACGCACGCACACGCACGCACGCACGCACACACACGCGCACACACGCACACACACGCACACACGCACACACACGCACACACACGCACACACACGCACACACACGCACACACGCGCATACACACGCGCGCACACGCGCACACGCGAACACACACACACACACGCACGCACGCACGCACACACACACACACACACACACACACACACACACACACACACACACGCACGCACACACACACACACACACACACACACACACACACACACACACACGCACGCACACACACACACACGCACGCACGCACGCACTGGAATAGAGAGAGTGCAAGTAGTTGAAGAGTTAGTGCATATTCCCCTTCTTGTCTCCAGGTTTTTGGCTCTTGCTGGCCCAGTGCCAAAGCTTCTGCTCTTCTTATGCATGTTCACTGACCGGGAGTTTCACTGACCAGCTTGTGATGGCTATATGTGGGTCTGCCGGCGGCTGGTAGCTGCCTCCAACAGCCTTGTTGATCAGATCATCAGCCAGGAGGTTGAGAGTTTGCCTCTTGAGAAGTTGAGGCAAAATTTTTACTGATTCATTATGGTTGAAAATCAGGTCTTGGCTGGCAGGTGGATCCTTTGCATTCGATCTTGATTTTGATTTAACTTTTGACATAACGAAGTTTCTTCTTTGACTGAACGAAAGAGCGTCGGTATCGCTTCATGCAGGTCGGCGTTCAATCCCCGACTGTTCAAGTGGTTGGGCGCCTTTCATTCCCTCCGTCCCATCCCAAATCCTTATTCTGATCCCTTCCCAGTGCTGTATAGTCGTAATGGCTTGGCGCTTTCCCTCCTGATAGTTCCCTTCCTTCTCCACCTCTTTCCTCCATCGAATTCTTGTAATTCGCAACTAAATTATTGTACAAGATCGGTCAATCTGCCTATCTGTCTCTCCCTTTCTCTCCCCTCTCCTTCTCTTTCCTCCTTCTCTTTCCTCCTCTCTTTCCTCCTCTCTCTCCTTGTCCCTCCCTCTTTCTCTCTCCTTGTCCCTCCCTCTTTCTCTCTCCTTGTCCCTCCCTCTTTCTCTCTCCTTGTCCCTCCCTCTTTCTCCCTCACTTTCCTCTTTCCCTTCCTTCATTCTGCATTCCCTTTCTCCTTCCTGCCGAGCAGAAGAGAATCCCAAATGACTTCATTCGCGTCTACGAGCTTTCATGCTCACTTAAATATTTTCTTGGCCATCGAAAGATATCTTTTTTGGTATTCATAAAATTCACAGGTGAGAACGACTTAAAGCAACTTAGCAATTACAACGTCGAAAGACTCTCTCTCTCTCTTTGCTCTCTGAAAACGGCGTCAGAATTTCCTCGTACTATTAAAACTCCTGAAGACTTTCCTTGACCGGTGAGAGAATGCCGGGCAAATCTCGACCTTTGGGACTGCATGGTTCTTTCTCGCACTTCTGAGCGCCAGTTTCTGCACCATTGGCCTTGATAACAGGAAGATTCATCTCCACGCCTGATATTCCCGGAAGATTCTGGTCATTTCAAGTTCTTTGTGCCTGAGAACTTCAGAAGATCCATGTCTGTGCTCGAGAATGCCGGAAGATCGATCCGCTCCTGGATGACATCGAAAGATCTATGGCAGTTATTGAGAACACTAGAAGACCTCTCTCAGTGCGTAAGAAAGCCGGAAAATCCGTCTCATCGCGCGCAAGAACGCCGGAAAATCCGTCTCATCGCGCGCAAGAACGCCGGAAAATCCGTCTCATCGCGCGCAAGAACGCCGGAAAATCCGTCTCATCGCGCGCAAGAACGCCGGAAAATCCGTCTCATCGCGCGCAAGAACGCCGGAAAATCCGTCTCATCGCGCGCAAGAACGCCGGAAAATCCGTCTCATCGCGCGCAAGAACGCCGGAAAATCCGTCTCATCGCGCGCAAGAACGCCGGAAAATCCGTCTCATCGCGCGCAAGAACGCCGGAAAATCCGTCTCATCGCGCGCAAGAACGCCGGAAAATCCGTCTCATCGCGCGCAAGAACGCCGGAAAATCCGTCTCATCGCGCGCAAGAACGCCGGAAAATCCGTCTCATCGCGCGCAAGAACGCCGGAAAATCCGTCTCATCGCGCGCAAGAACGCCGGAAAATCCGTCTCATCGCGCGCAAGAACGCCGGAAAATCCGTCTCATCGCGCGCAAGAACGCCGGAAAATCCGTCTCATCGCGCGCAAGAACGCCGGAAAATCCGTCTCATCGCGCGCAAGAACGCCGGAAAATCCGTCTCATCGCGCGCAAGAACGCCGGAAAATCCGTCTCATCGCGCGCAAGAACGCCGGAAAATCCGTCTCATCGCGCGCAAGAACGCCGGAAAATCCGTCTCCACGCTTGAGAACGCCGGAAGACCGACCATAGGTCACACATGACCTACAAGTCTCTGATCTTAGCACCGTGAAATTTCGCCTCCGGCTGCGACAAGAGTGCGGAGGCACTTATTACATACGGGTCGTCAACCCTCCCTCTCTTCCCCCCCAGAATACAGTGGAACCCCTCCCCCCTCCTCCCCGCTCCCCAGAATACAGTGGCCGCTGTTATTGCCTCCGACATCAGGCCTTATGAAGAGCGCCTCTCCCCCAGTACCCCCAACCCACGGCGCCACCTCCGAAAGGGAAAAATGCCTTATTGCATTTCATATTGTCCGCCTGCAGGGGGGCAACTCGGTATTTTTATGAGCGGGTGATGTGCCAGAGGTAACCTGGTTAAAGGAATCCCCAGGGGGAAGGGTATTTTGTTAGGGGAGGAAGAAAGAGGAAGGAATCATCTCTTCTTGCTTATCTGTTGCCTTTCATGTCGAGGTCGTTCGAGGTAATGAACACTTTTCAGGTATTTTATAATTTAGCAAGATGTGGAGAGGATGGGGGAATTTGTAATAGGGAAATGTGGGTGTATAGAAATGCTGGGTGTTCAGGGAGAGGATGCCCTACCATTTGGGCTAGACGGTGGAGCGACGGTCTTGCTTCATGCAGGTCTGCGTTCAATCCACCGATTGTCCACAAGTGTTTGTGCCCTGGAAACACAAACCGTAACTGTCTCTATTTTCCGCTTGTTACAACTTGTAATAAAGTTGTTACGTCTTGGCTTAACGTGTTTATGACGTATTAGAACGTTGTTACAACTTGCTATATTGGTTGTTATAACTGGTTAGGAGGTGTTAAAACTTGTTCGAATGTGTTACCAACGTCGTAGTTTCGGTGTGTATTTGGCGGGTGGGCACCATTCCTTTCCCTCCGTCCCATCCCAAAGCCTTATCCTGACCCCTCCAGTGCTATATAGTCACAATGGATTGGCGCTTTCTCCCTGATAGTTTCCTCCCTCCCCCCTCAGGGAGAGGAATGGGAGGGGTGTAGAGGAGAGACTGGGGGGGGGGGGGGTTCAAGAGGGAATGGTGGACGTAATAGAGCATTCGGCCACTGTTTATGGGAGCGGACAGAAACAAAGAGGTTTTTTCTTGTTATTTACGAACCTCGACCATTTGGATACATGGTAACTGATAAGGAATTCGTCATGGGGGACTTTTCGTGCGATTCGTCCTAACGAAACTTGGTACGAAAGAGAGCGGGGCGTGTCAACGGCTCCTCTGTCCTCACACTGTATACGAGTGGGCGTGTCCGTGATGCCTGCTGTTGTGGGCGTGTCCCTGACGCCTGCTGTTGTGGGCGTGTTCCTGAGGCCTGCAGTTGTGGGCGTGTCCGTGACGCCTGCTGTTGTGGGCGTGTCCGTGACGCCTGCTGTTGTGGGCGTGTCCCTGACGCCTGCTGTTGTGGGCGTGTTCCTGAGGCCTGCAGTTGTGGGCGTGTCCGTGACGCCTGCTGTTGTGGGCGTGTCCGTGACGCCTGCTGTTGTGGGCGTGTCCGTGACGCCTGCTGTTGTGGGCGTGTCCGTGACGCCTGCAGTTGTGGGCGCGTCCCTGACTCCTGCAGTTGTGGGCGTGTCCGTGACGCCTGCAGTTGTGGGCGTGTCCGTGACGCCTGCTGTTGTGGGCGTGTCCGTGACGCCTGGAGTTGTGGGCGTGTCCGTGACGCCTGCTGTTGTGGGCGTGTCCGTGACGCCTGCTGTTGTGGGCGTGTCCGTGACGCCTGCTGTTGTGGGCGTGTCCGTGACGCCTGCAGTTGTGGGCGTGTCCGTGACGCCTGTAGTTGTGGGCGTGTCCGTGATGCCCGCCCAGGCTCCCCAACGCCTCGTAAAGACATCAGAAAAAGGGTAAAATGTTTAAACTTATTCTCGTAATCTTTTTTTGTAGTGAGACCCTGCCAGGGAGGGTGTGTTGTGGTGGCAGGTGTGTTGTGGTGGCAGGTGTGTTGTGGTGGCAGGTGTGTTGTGGTGGCAGGTGTGTTGTGGTGGCAGTGTGGAGGGTGTGTTGTGGTGGCAGTGTGGAGGACCAACATAAGTCTTACATTGTACCAACACAAGTCTTACATTGTACCAACACAAGTCTTGCATTGTACCAACATGAGTCTTACATTGTAACATCGTAAGTCTTTTATTGCTTGTTCACCACAGTGTTTACATTGTGGGACTATAAGCCTTACAGTGTTAAATATATTAACGAAAAAACACAAAATTTGACAAGTTTAGATTCAGGAAAGACCTGGGTAAATACTGGCTTCAGAGCCCGTCCTCAGACCAAATCCATCACCATGAGAAATAATACCCCCCCCCCCCCCCCTTCAAGCCATCTGGATAGTGAATTGAAATTGAATGCCTATCTGGATAGGTATCTAGATATTTGTGATGGTCTGAAAGCATAATTTGGTTCCATTAATAGTATACATGTAAACTACCAAATGAACCTTTGCCCTAAACATAGATTATTCTCAAGTTATAACTGTATTGTATTACAAATCGTTGATTCAAAATAAAACAAAATGTATGATGAAAACATTTACGTTGAAGAATTTGGTTTTCTGTAAATGGAATTCTCGGGTACACTCAAATCTTGGCTATTGTATTCAAACAACCTTGTTTGGATACAGTAGCTTATTGTTGTTGGCTTGTCATTGATTGCCTTTGTTAGCAGTCACACCTTTTCAGTCTTTACTAGCTTTTAACTTGTTTATGTTAAAGACTGTGGTCGGTGAGAGTCTTAACAAGTGAACGACAACCTGTCCTCTTAAAAAGAATGTCACTTTTGGCCGTTTGCCCGTGTGGCCGAAAATGGACGTAATTTGAAAATGAAAAAAAATGAAAATAAATTTGGGATTTTTTTCCAACAACAGTAAGTTAAGGGTCCTCTGATAGGTTAGGTGGGCAGGAAATTCTCATAGAGTTTCAAAACGTTATGAAAAACGTTAATTAAAAGTTTCCTCTCCTAACCTTTCCGCGTAGGCCGGACGACTCAAATAGAAAATGGAACAGTACGTCACTTTTGTGAGTCGATTTCATTTCAAATTACGTCCAAATTTGGCCATAGCGCGCATACCAGCGAAAAGTGACGTTATTTTTAAGAGGACGGGTTGTAACGTCACCATTCCAGAGATCACAGTTGACGTTCTGTAGTCACTAGAAAATTGTGCGTCATTTCGATTTCCCTTTCTCTTTCTAAACAAGTTTATATAGTTAGTTTTTAATGGTGTAAAGGTTAACAGTTCTGCCTTTGTATAACAGAACAAATTCCACGTGTGATATTAGCATTGTATGTATATACAGTGTATATGTATGTATATGTACGTCTGTGGTAGTACATAAACATATATAAAAGGGGTACCAACTCTGGTGCAAGTGTAGGGACCCATAGCCTCGGAGAAGAAAATATAGAGTACTCAGAGAAGACCTTGTGGATCCACACTGAATACTTTTGATATAAATATATTGTATTTGTATAAAGTAAATAAAGCAGGTGTAACGACCGGGATTTATATGAAAGTTCAAGACGGGTGCTTAAAGCGGCCATCAGCAATAAAGTTTAAATTGGATCACCAAACACTAACAGCATTAAAGTTAAGACAGAAACTTTGGTGTGAACTTTGGCTCACACCAAAGTTGAGGCTCGAACTGCTACCTTAATAATAACATGATACTTCACTTCCACCCCTGGCGTGCGTGGAGGGAGTTAACGAGAGCCCTCGTTACCTGGTGTTCGTTACCTGGTGTTTACTTGGCGCAAGTTTGGGCGAGTCACCTTCCCCTTGGTCATTCAAGCTGTTGGTGCCAGCAACATGTAGTCTGGAGTAAGCGTCGAAGCTTGGATGATGGATTTTAGTTTGTATATAGTCGTAGGGAGCCGGTCGGCCGAGCGGACAGCACGCTGGACTTGTGATCTTGTGGTCCTGGGTTCGATCTCGGGCGCCGGCGAGAAACAATGGGCAGAGTTTCTTTCACCCTATGCCCCTGTTACCTAGCAGGAAAATAGGTACCTGGGTGTTAGTCAGCTGTCATGGGCTGCTTCCTGGGGGTGGAGGCCTAGTCGAGGACCGGGCCGCAGGGACACTAAAGCCCCTAAATCATCTCAAGATAACCTCAAGATAGTCATGACAACATCTACCAGATGGCAGTGTAATATTAAAAGGATAACTTTGATGTTAATTAGATATATAAAAGGAGATTGGTCTCGAATACACAGAAATCACAATAGCCTGATGCATCAAATGGACAAATCCACAAGGGCCGTGGCGAGGATTCGAACCTGCGTCCGAGAGCATCCCAGACGCTGCCTTAATTGACTGAGCTACGACATGGTAAAAAAATTGCAACGAGAAGTTTTACTACGTATTCTAAGCGGATACGGATTGGCGGTGATAACAGCCAATAGCAATTGATTGTGATTAGTGGAGTGGGGGAGGGGGAAGAACCACAATCACATGGTTAGTGTCTGATACAATCTCTTAGACCCCCATCCCCCCGTCCCATCCCACAATCCTTATCCTGTTCCCTTTCAAGTGCTATATAGTCGTAATGTCTTGGTCGCTTTCTCCTGATAGTTCCCTTACCTTAGAACGGATAGTAATTATCCAAGATGGCGCCAAGGAAGGAAGAGACTCTATTTAGCACCCCAAAAGCGATTGGGTATCTTTCCAGGTGATCATATGAACAAATCCACAAGGGCCGGGACGAGGGTTCGAACTTAGGTCCGAAAGGATCCCAGACGCTGCCTTACTCGGTGAGCAGGTGATCATGACTTTGGTAATGGGTGGTGAACAGCGGCCATTTCTGGTTCCCACAGGGGTGATTACAGGACGATGTGCTGTGGCTAACCTTTGTCGATAGCCGGTGTGTTTGTTGCGTCAACGATAGCCGGTGTGTTTGTTGCGTCAACGATAGCCAGTGTGTTTGCTGCGTCATCGATAGCCAGTGTGTTTGTTGCGTCAACGATAGCCGGTGTGTTTGTTGCGTCAACGATAGCCAGTGTGTTTGCTGCGTCATCGATAGCCAGTGTGTTTGTTGCGTCAACGATAGCCAGTGTGTTTGCTGCGTCATTGATAGCGAGTGTGTTTGCTGCGTCATTGATAGCGAGTATGTTTGCTGCGTCAACGATAGCCGGTGTGTTTGTTGCGTCATTGATAGCGAGTATGTTTGCTGCGTCAACGATAGCCAGTGTGTTTGTTGCGTCAACGATAGCCGGTGTGTTTGTTGCGTCAACGATAGCCAGTGTGTTTGCTGCGTCATTGATAGCGAGTATGTTTGCTGCGTCATCGATAGCCAGTGTGTTTGTTGCGTCAACGATAGCCGGTGTGTTTGTTGCGTCAACGATAGCGAGTGTGTTTGCTGCGTCATTGATAGCGAGTATGTTTGCTGCGTCATCGATAGCCAGTGTGTTTGTTGCGTCAACGATAGCGAGTGTGTTTGCTGCGTCATTGATAGCGAGTATGTTTGCTGCGTCATCGATAGCCAGTGTTTTTGTTGCGTCAACGATAGCGAGTGTTTGTTGCGTCATTGATAGCGAGTATGTTTGCTGCGCCATCGATAGCCAGTGTGTTTGTTGCGTCAACGATAGCGAGTGTGTTTGTTGCGTCATCGATAGCCAGTGTGTTTGTTGCGTCAACGATAGCGAGTGTGTTTGCTGCGTCATTGATAGCGAGTGTGTTTGCTGCGTCATTGATAGCGAGTATGTTTGCTGCGTCATCGATAGCCAGTGTGTTTGTTGCGTCAACGATAGCGAGTGTTGCGTCATTGATAGCGAGTATGTTTGCTGCGTCATCGATAGCCAGTGTGTTTGTTGCGTCAACGATAGCGAGTGTGTTTGCTGCGTCATCGATAGCCAGTGTGTTTGTTGCGTCAACGATAGCGAGTGTGTTTGCTGTGTCAACGATAGCGAGTGTGTTTGCTGCGTCAACGATAGCGAGTGTGTTTGCTGCGTCATCGATAGCCAGTGTGTTTGTTGCGTCAACGATAGCGAGTGTGTTTGCTGTGTCAACGATAGCGAGTGTGTTTGCTGCGTCAACGATAGCGAGTGTGTTTGCTGCGTCATTGATAGCGAGTATGTTTGCTGCGTCAACGATAGCGAGTGTGTTTGTTGCGTCAACGATAGCGAGTGTGTTTGCCGAGGAACACAAGAGAGTAAAAGGAAACATGATTACCACATACAAAATTCTCAGGGGAATTGACAGGGTAAGATAAAGACAGTTTAACATGGGTGGTACTCCCAGAGGAGGGTACAAGTGGAAGCTGAGTAAGCCACAGAGAAATTAAAAAGTATTTTTTTTTCAGTGTCAGAGTAATAAACAAATAGAATGGACTCGGAGGTGATGTGGTGGAGGCTGACTCCATACAGCATTTCAAGTATAGATATAATAGAGCCCAATAGGCTCAAAAACCTGTACACCAGTTGATTGATGGTGTAACACCACTCTATGTAACACCACTATAATGCACCACTATAATGGAACACCACTATAATGGAGCACTAAACTAATAATGTAAACACTACTTATCCTGAGTAACACTTCCCCATCGGTTGCACTTGATAACACTGTTATGAAACACGGTAATGTGAGCTGACATATGATGGTTACACCGGAACCAAAAGATACACTGCCAATAAGGAAATGCTAACACAAGGATTAAATACGCTGCCACCATCTGCCTTTGACCATTGAAACTATATCAAGCAACGAGGCAAGAAACATTGCTTGACTTGGAGAGTACTTTCTATAACTGTCATTAATTATGAAAATGGTTGTCAGCCACTATATCCAAAAGGCTAAGAGGATTCAACAATTGACACAGACGGGAAATTTATCATGAGTTTATTAAAGACCAAAATTATGTCAATCACCACTTATAAATCCTACTCTAACACTGGCAAAAAGTTAAGAAATTTGGACATGGAACAAAACTTCAGAGATCACACACATTACCTTAAGACCTGTCTCTCTCTGGCTGAGATGTTCTTCACAGCCCTCTCTGGACCCCAGTGTCCGGCACTCTGTCTCCTAAGTCCCTACAGGTCCTCTATATACAACCCCCACAGGGGGGAGGGGGGAGATCTGCTGTTGCTACCTACCCCAAGAATGTAAAAGATCGGCCACACGTGTACAAACACTCAAGAAATATTTCAATAAGCTTGTTTGACATTCACCATACACTCTTCAAGAGAGGAGTTATTAATTACGTGTGTGACTGACCTCTGACCTGGCCAAAAGGGGGAGATCCAGGGATGTTTACACATAAGAATCTGGAGTCTAATTTCCTTGCATGAAATATTACATACTTGAAACTATGCTGACTAAGACTAACCCAGGAATTTTTTTTAATCAACATACAAGATAAACCGGAGGTCATCTGGGCTGACCTCTTGGAGAAGGCTTCCCTGGGTGTGAACTCTAAGGGGGGGGGGGAGGTCTTGGGTGTTACAATGGTTAACAGGCAGGACCAAAGAGCCAGAGCTCAATCCCCGCAAGTACAATTACGCGAGTACAATTTAGTACACACACACACACACACACACACACACACACACACACACACACACACACACACACACACACACACACACACACACACACACACACACACACACACACAACCACACCACACACAAACTAGTAAACACACACACACATACCGTGTAAATAAAGAAACTTATCTAAACGTTTCGCTCTGGCCTAAAATCGAACCCATCTGGGATTAAACTCGGAACTGTAAAACATGGGGTCGTTGCTATATCAACCATATCAATAATACTGGACTTGGCGAGGAAGGTTTTAAGCGTGGGTGTAGTGAAGATGCGTGTGGGTGGGTGAGTGTGGGTGTAGTGAAGATGCGTGTGGGTGGGTGAGTGTGGGTGTAGTGAAGATGGGTGAGTGTGGGTGTAGTGAAGATGCGTGTGGGTGGGTGAGTGTGGGTGTAGTGAAGATGCGTGTGGGTGAGTGTGGGTGTAGTGAAGATGCGTGTCGGTGGGTGAGTGTGGGTGTAGTGAAGATGCGTGTGGGTGAGTGTGGGTGTAGTGAGATGGGGGCGAGTGGAAGCCCACACCCGGGAATCCTCCGCAACCCACAAAAACGTATTTGAGGAATTATGCTGTTTAGGATTCACCATTGTGGCTCTATAGACACGCTGAGGCTATTTCAGTAATTCCCTCCCTCTCCCCCTTCCCTCTCTTTCCCCCTCCCCCTTCTTTCATCTTTCCCTCCCTCCCTTCTCTCTTCCTATCCTTCCCTCCCTTCCTGCATCGAGGCACCTGTTGGAGGCGGCACTAATCCAGGAGAAGAGTGAGAGGTGCCAGGCTAGAGGGAGAGGTGCCACGCAGGAGGGAGAGGTGCCACGCAGGAGGGAGAGGTGCCAGGGAGAGGTGCCAGGCTAGAGGGAGAGGTGCCAGGCTAGAGGGATAGGTGCCAGGCTAGAGGGAGAGGTGCCAGGCAGGAGGGGGGAAGACAGTGCCACAATACACTGCCAATGACCCTTAACCTTTAGTGAACCTGCCACGCCTTCGTTTAGCTTTCGATAACTCCTAGGATCAACGTCCTCCGCGGCCCGGTCTCTGACCAGGCCTCCTGGCTGGTGGTCTGGTCAACCAGGCTGTTAGACGCAGCTGCTCGCCACCTGACATGCGACCCACAGCCTGGTTGATCATTCTACGAGATTGAGCTACATGTAAATATTGCGTTGCCAGTTGAAAAGAAAGGAATAGAATTTCAGAATAGCTTTTAGTTAAGAAAGTGAGTTAGGTGGATGTGGGAGAGGTCCGGAACAGAACACAAAGGAGGATGTGGAACAGCCGGAGGAACCTGAGAGAGAGGAACAGTGGAGCGTGAGGGAAAGAGATGGGATAGAGAGGGACAGGGTAATGTCATTAAAGGAAAAGCCATGCATGGGAAAAGGTGATAGTGCAGAGATTGATGGAGAGGGCAGGTGTGGAATGATAGGGAGGACAGGTGTGGAATGATAGAGAGGAGAAACTTTAATCTTCATTCTGAAACCTCTGTTAACACCATTGAATGTATAACATGCAAGAATTCAAGAATACAACAGCAATAATACCTGCCGCTCTCAACAAAAGTATACTGTAGTGTAGAAGGCTTTAAATATTGGCTAAAATTCCTCGCATGTGTTTACACGAAGGCATGTCAGAGGTCGTGGAGTGGGGAGGGGTTGAGGGGGAGTGATGGGGAGAGGAGGGGGTGATGGGGAATGGGGAGAGGGGGGGGGTGTCTCGTGACCATTCCATCTTCCATTCGGATGTAAGATGCCCCATTCGTACAAGGCACCCATTCACACCCACTCCCTTAGTCCATTTTTTTTTCTCGACCTGGAAGACCTCTTCCTATACAAGATAACTATACCACTGGAGGCTTCTCCTCCTCTGGAACACCTCTGGAACACCTCTGGAGGCTTCTCCTCCTCTGGAACACCTCTGGAGGCTTCTCCTCCTCTGGAACACCTCTGGAACACCTCTGGAGGCTTCTCCTCCTCTGGAACACCTCTGGAGGCTTCTCCTCCTCTGGAACACCTCTGGAGGCTTCTCCTCCTCTGGAACACCTCTGGAGGCTTCTCCTCCTCTGGAATACCTCTGGAGGCTTCTCCTCTGGAACACCTCTGGAAGCTTCTCCTCTGGAACACCTCTGGAGGCTTCTCCTCCTCTGGAACACCTCTGGAAGCTTCTCTTCTGGAACACCTCTGGAGGCTTCTCCTCCTCTGGAACACCTCTGGAGGCTTCTCCTCCTCTGGAACACCTCTGGAACAATCTTGACCTCTATACTTGCTGCTAGATCTATAAGCTGTTAGATCATAGATCTAGCATACATCAGTATTAATTATGGCCATTTACAAGCACACATCATTACACAAGAATAATTAATGCGATAATTCCATCATTTTCCAGCATTTCTGTAGAAATAATTTGCGAGGAGGGAACGAGGCTGTTCGATCGTGATTCAGGCCGACAGTGGCCGTCGTAAGTGAATTACTGACTAACCAGTATGTCAAGACACAGCCAATTTCGTTAGTTGCTCGGGGTAGTTTAGTGTTCTCCTGTGATAATGGTTGTTTAGTGTTTCCCTGTGGTAATGGTTGTTATCACGGTGTTAATGGTTGTTATCACGGTGTTAATGGTTGTTATCACAGTGTTAAGGGTGTTATCACAGTGTTAATGGTTGTTATCACGGTGTTAATGGGTGTTATCACGGTGTTAATGGTTGTTATCACAGTGTTAATGGTTGTTTAGTGTTTCCCTGTGGTAATGGTTGTTATCACGGTGTTAATGGTTGTTATCACGGTGTTAATGGTTGTTATCACGGTGTTAATGGTTGTTATCACGGTGTTAATGGTTGTTATCACAGTGTTAAGGTTATCACAGTGTTAATGGTTGTTTAGTGTTTCCCTGTGGTAATGGTTGTTATCACGGTGTTAATGGTTGTTATCACGGTGTTAATGGTTGTTATCACGGTGTTAATGGTTGTTATCACGGTGTTAATGGTTGTTATCACAGTGTTAAGGTTATCACAGTGTTAATGGTTGTTTAGTGTTTCCCTGTGGTAATGGTTGTTATCACAGTGTTAATGGTTGTTATCACGGTGTTAATGGGTGTTATCACGGTGTTAATGGTTATCACAATGTTAAGGGTGTTATCACAGTGTTAATGGTTGTTATCACGGTGTTAAGGTTGTTATCACAGTGTTAATGGTTGTTATCACGGTGTTAATGGTTGTTATCACGGTGTTAATGGTTATCATCACGGTGTTAAGGGTTTGCATCATTGGAGGCATCTACAAAACTACTATTACCAGTTATATCGCTGAGAAGATATATCCCTGCTGCTGCTGCTGCTACTGCTGCTACTGCTACTGCTGCTACTGTTGCTGCTACTGTTGCTGCTACTGCTGCTGCTACTGTTGCTGCTGCTGCTGCTACTGCTGCTGCTGCTGCTGCTTCTGCTGCTACTGCTTCTGCTGCTACTGTTGCTGCTACTGCTACTACTGCTGCTACTGCTGCTGCTGCTGCTACTGCTGCTACTGCTGCTACTGCTTCTGCTGCTACTGCTTCTGCTGCTACTACTGCTACTGCTGCTACTGCTTCTGCTGCTACTGCTGCTACTGCTGCTACTACTGCTACTGCTGCTACTGCTTCTGCTGCTACTGCTGCTACTGCTACTGCTTCTCCTGCTGCTGCTGCTACTGCTGCTACTGCTGCTACTGCTTCTCCTGCTACTACTGCTACTGCTGCTACTGCTTCTGCTACTACTGCTTCTGCTGCTACTGCTGCTGAATGACACTGGCGACAGATATTGTTTAGTATTATAGGAAGTAAGGGTCAACGTGGCGGTGTTCTCCAATGTTGGCTTGATTAAGGTGTCTGGTGGCAACTTGGTGTATCAATTAACCTCACGGCTGACCGGACAAGCGAAGGGGGGAAGAGGTGAAGGTGAGAAAAGAGGTGTGAAGGTAGGAGACCAAAGGAGACAGGAATGAAGAAAGGATTAGAAGCGTGGACACGATAAAGTTCGTGGACAAGGGTAGGGGAAAGTGTGACGCTAAAATATAAAACCAAAAATGCGTTTTTCGAAAATACCCTGAGAGGTTTGGGCTCTCTGGGGCTGAGAAAATAGCGAGATTGCTGGATAACTTATCATGATAGCGGGTAGTAGTCTACCCTTCGTAGGTCATTGGATAGCAGGGTTGATTGTTGTTACAGTGAGGCATCACAGTCAAAATAGTGACCTTTTATCATTTCTGTGTGTGAGTGTGTGTTTTAGGTAACGGGAATTAGGTTCCCTGCAAGTATGTGTGCTTGGTGAAGCTGCTTGTGTATGGGGCTCCAGGAGTCAGTGTTGTTTATCCTCAAGTGCTGCTGATCGTGCTGCTGTTGCTTCTGCTGTTCCTGTTACTCCAGTTGCTGCTACTCCTGCTGCTGTTACTCCTGCTGCTGTTACTCCAGCTGCTGCTGCTGCTCCTGCTGCTGTTACTCCAGCTGCTGCTGCTGCTCCTGCTGCTGTTACTCCAGCTGCTGCTCCTGCTGCTGTTACTCCAGCTGCTGCTGCTCCTGCTGCTGTTACTCCAGCTGCTGCTGCTCCTGCTGCTGTTACTCCAGCTGCTGCTGCTCCTGCTGCTGTTACTCCAGCTGCTGCTGCTCCTGCTGCTGTTACTCCAGCTGCTGCTGCTGCTGCTGCTGTTACTCCAGCTGCTGCTGCTCTTGTTGCTGCTGCTACTGCTGCTGCTGCTATTGCTGCTGCTGCTACTGCTGCTACTACTGCTACAGCTGTTGCTACTGCTCCTGCCCCAGCGACTGATGGACTACCTCCATTGAGTCGTCCATCACTTCCCTGTCGCTTGGGGCTGATTATATCAACCTGGGAATACGAAGTAGATGGATGGTGGACCACGCTACCCTACACGACCAGGAGTCATCATTTACATGACCACTTACGAAACCGCTACATCTGCCTTCAATCACGGCGGCAAAGTTTGCACTTACTGAACATTGTATGAGCTACGAGGTTATCTATAACAATAATAAACCTGGGATCGTAAAGGACCTCGCAGCAAAGCTCAATGACTTCAGTAAATACAAAGGCGTTATGATTAAGGTAAGATGTACTGGTTTCGTAATTGGACAGGTGGTTAATTTGATGGATTGTGTCCCCGTACTCCCTGAGGTGTGTATCCCTTGCAAGCTCAATATTTATGTGTGTCTGAACATTATTACCCTCTCTATGCATTTTTACGTATGTATACGTTCGAATATGTATATATATGTATCGAGATGCATACACACACACTGGGAATAGCATAGAATAATAAACTTAGAGGAAAAACTGCACTGTGAGAAGAACATTTATTTGTTTTATTAATACATTTAGGTACATGTACATTTGTACAGCTTCCCTAGACTATATGAAGGGGAGTACAGTGTGTGTCAAGAACTAGCTGCCCTAGACTATATGAAGGGGAGTACAGTGTGTGTCAAGAACTAGCTACCCTAGACTATATGAAGGGGAGTACAGTGTGTCAAGAACTAGCTGCCCTAGACTATATGAAGGGGAGTACAGTGTGTGTCAAGAACTAGCTGCCCTAGACTATATGAAGGGGAGTACAGTGTGTGTCAAGAACTAGCTGCCCTAGACTATATGAAGGGGAGTACAGTGTGTGTCAAGAACTAGCTGCCCTAGACTATATGAAGGGGAGTACAGTGTGTGTCAAGAACTAGCTGCCCTAGACTATATGAAGGGGAGTACAGTGTGTGTCAAGAACTAGCTGCCCTAGACTATATGAAGGGGAGTACAGTGTGTCAAGAACTAGCTGCCCTAGACTATATGAAGGGGAGTACAGTGTGTGTCAAGAACTAGCTGCCCTAGACTATATGAAGGGGAGTACAGTGTGTGTCAAGAACTAGCTGCCCTAGACTATATGAAGGGGAGTACAGTGTGTGTCAAGAACTAGCTGCCCTAGACTATATGAAGGGGAGTACAGTGTGTCAAGAACTAGCTGCCCTAGACTATATGAAGGGGAGTACAGTGTGTGTCAAGAACTAGCTGCCCTAGACTATATGAAGGGGAGTACAGTGTGTGTCAAGAACTAGCTGCCCTAGACTATATGAAGGGGAGTACAGTGTGTGTCAAGAACTAGCTTCCCTAGACTATATGAAGGGGAGTACAGTGTGTGTCAAGAACTAGCTGCCCTAGACTATATGAAGGGGAGTACAGTGTGTGTCAAGAACTAGCTTCCCTAGACTATATGAAGGGGAGTACAGTGTGTGTCAAGAACTAGCTACCCTAGACTATATGAAGGGGAGTACAGTGTGTGTCAAGAACTAGCTGCCCTAGACTATATGAAGGGGAGTACAGTGTGTCTCAAGAACTAGCTACCCTAGACTATATGAAGGGGAGTACAGTGTGTGTCAAGAACTAGCTGCCCTAGACTATATGAAGGGGAGTACAGTGTGTGTCAAGAACTAGCTGCCCTAGACTATATGAAGGGGAGTACAGTGTGTGTCAAGAACTAGCTGCCCTAGACTATATGAAGGGGAGTACAGTGTGTGTCAAGAACTAGCTGCCCTAGACTATATGAAGGGGAGTACAGTGTGTGTCAAGAACTAGCTGCCCTAGACTATATGAAGGGGAGTACAGTGTGTGTCAAGAACTAGCTGCCCTAGACTATATGAAGGGGAGTACAGTGTGTGTCAAGAACTAGCTGCCCTAGACTATATGAAGGGGAGTACAGTGTGTGTCAAGAACTAGCTACCCTAGACTATATGAAGGGGAGTACAGTGTGTCAAGAACTAGCTGCCCTAGACTATATGATGGGGAGTACAGTGTGTGTCAAGAACTAGTTACGTGATGCTAAAACTTCCCATCACACAGGATGGTTAGTCATTCAGGGTCATGTGATCAGTAGTCTGCACTGGCAAACTCTAAGTGCATAATGTGGATATCTTCAAGAACACGAGAGTTAATAAAGTAATTGCAAAACTCCAGATACCTCATGCCAACAGATCTGAATGGTCTAATAACTGAGCATTTAGTATTGTGGTGTGCGAAGTCACGTCCCAGTTCCTGCTCACAGAATTTGCACCTGGAGTGCTCAGGATTGGGAGATCCGTCACCTGTAGCCACCTGTCACAGGTAACGGTAGCCACCTGCCACAGGTAACGGCAGCCACCTGCCACAGGTAACGTCAGCCACCTGCCACAGGTAAGGGTAACCCAACCTGATCCTGGCAACCACTGTGTCGCACTGAACGTTTTGTGCTGCCCATAAACATTAATTTTGATTATAAACAAATCATAGCTTTCTATACTGGTGCTTTCAGGTCGTTGGGAGTCAGTAATTTGTCTCCTATCAGACCTGAGTGATAGGTACAATACAGCTTTGACAGCAGAGATGGGGATATTTAGGTTCAATTCAACTTCATCATTGATACACGCTAATTTGGCTGCAATGTCTCATTAATATGCGGTATATTTATGTGAGATGGTATACACGCAAGAGATTCTAAACCCTTTACACTGTGCAGCGATCACAACGAGTTCAAGAACTTGCACACCTTGTCGATTGAAGGTTCAGAGGCAGGACTCAACAGCTGAAGATTAGCCTCCTCAGCATAACTAGATACACACAACTTAAGGATTGATATGGTGGAGGCTGACTCCATACACAGTTTCAAATGTAGATATGATAGAGCTCGAGAAGCTCATGAACCTGTACACCAGTAGATTGACGGTTGAGAGGCGAGACCAGAGAGCCAAAGCTCAGCCCTCGCAAGCACAGGTGATTACAGGTAGGTGAGTGCCCTCGCTAACCTGCACAGGTCGCAGAGCCTGACAGCAGGAAGGTATTGACAAAAGCAGTAAACTGTGCGTCATTTGGTCCCCCTGAGCGTTCACTGAGCCACCGCCGGCGCTGTTAATCTGCTGTGTGAGGGGACGCAGCAGCCCGAGGGAGAGGCAGCAGACAGGCAGCAGAGAGGCAGCACAGAGGCAGTAAAGAGAAAAAACAAGCAACTAGAGGAAAGCCAATACTATAATGGAAGTAAACATGGAGGAATTCTAATGTAGAAATCATTGGGGGAGAAAAAAATAAGGAGCTCTACGTCGCAGGTTCGAATCCTCGTCACGGTCCTTGTGGATTTGTTCATAAAAATAAGGAGGCTTCCGCAGGAGGGTGTGGAGAAGCGCCGAGAGAAGGGGAAGAAGAGGTCCGCAGATATGAAGGGAGATTAGAAAACGCGAGGGCGATAGAATTGCTGGAAATGTAAATATGATGAGGATAGAGATTGGCTGAGGGAGGAAGGGTAGGGGAGGTGGGGCAGGGGAGGGAAAAGGGTAGGGGAACTGAATGGAAGTGGCAGAGAGGGTTAGGGGAAGGGATCAGTGAGCTGGTGGGAAGTACAAGGGACTGGGAGGCTATGGCGGAGTTTGAATTTTCAGAGAGTAGGGAATGGAAGAACAAAAGAATAGAAGGGGATTGAAGGACAGAAGGACGGCAGGTGAGGAAGGATAGGGAAGGAGGGGGAGAGGGAGAGAGGGGACAGGCCAGTCAGCGACTGATTAACGGATTACATACAATAACAACCAGAAGAAACAAAGGGTAGGGGGGGATAATGCTCCGAAGAATTTATGAAATTATCGAGGGAACAGGTTTGAAAACTGGTTGAAAGGAGGAGGAGTGAGGGGATGGTGGTGGTGGTGAGGAGAGACGGGGGTGAGGAGGGTGGGTAAGTGAGTTTGCAACACAGGGAGAAGTGATGAATTGAGAACTAATGTATTGGCGAGGAGGGGGCGGGGGGGGGGAACTGCTGGTGTAGAGGGGAGCAGCGAGCAAGGAAGAGTGATGACCGGAGCCAGGGGGGACCAGAGTCCCAGGGTGTCTCCAGTTTTGTAAGAGCTGAAACCACGAGAATGGCAGGACTTGATGGTTAAATATAACACGCCAATAGCAACTGACGAGAGAGAGTGAGAGAGAGAGAGAGAGTGGGACAGAGAAAAAGAGAGAGTGAGACAGAGAAAAAGAGAGAGTGAGACAGAGAAAAAGAGAGAGAGAGTGAGAGAGAGAGAGAGAGAGAGAGAGAGAGAGAAAGAGAGAGAGAGAGAAAGAGAGAGTGAGACAGAGAAAATGAGAGAGTGAGACAGAGAAAATGAGAGAGTGAGACAGAGAAAGAGAGAGTGAGACAGAGAAAAGAGAGAGTGAGACAGAGAAAGAGAGAGAGTGAGACAGAGAAAGAGAGAGAGAGTGAGACAGAGAAAGAGAGAGAGACAGAGAAAAAGAGAGAGAGTGAGACAGAGAAAGAGAGAGAGTGAGACAGAGAAAGAGAGAGAGTGAGACAGAGAAAGAGAGAGTGAGAAAGAGAGAGAGAGTGAGACAGAGAGAGAGAGAAAGAGAGAGAGAGACAGAGAAAGAGAGAGACAGAGAAAGAGAGAGAGAGTGAGACAGAGAAAGAGAGAGAGAGTGAGACAGAGAAAGAGAGAGAGTGAGACAGAGAAAGAGAGAGAGAGACAGAGAAAAAGAGAGAGAGAGACAGAGAAAGAGAGAGAGAGAGAGAGACTGAGGGAAATATGCAAAACTAAGGAACACCTGGTGAAGTCGGATTGACTGCAAGGAGAGAGATGTAGTTCAACAGTCTCGCCAATGGCGCAGTTTGTGACTGGAAAGGGGCGGACGTTAGTCAAAAACTTAGCACTTTAGTAAACAACGATGAAGGAAGACGTGTACAATACGAGGACAAGACGTGTGAATGTCCAGGGAGTCCTTTGTTAAAGATTACGAGATGAAGAAATGATCCAATGGATGAAATAGTTTATAGGTGTTTAAAGAGCATGTCTCGTTCACCTCTTTAACAATGGTTAAGAAACCATTTCCTTAAATAACCATCTGAATCAAAACTGTCATGGGAATCTACATTTCATCCGGACGATAAGGAAGGTGAACCCCACGATAAGGAAGGTGAACCCCACGATAAGGAAGGTGAACCCCACGATAAGGAAGGTGAACCCCACGATAAGGAAGGTGAACCCCACGATAAGGAAGGTGAACCCCACGACCAGGTAGGTGAACCCCACGACCAGGTAGGTGAACCCCACGACCAGGTAGGTGAACCCCACGACCAGGTAGGTGAACCCCACGACCAGGTAGGTGAACCCCACGACCAGGTAGGTGAACCCCACGACCAGGTAGGTGAACCCCACGACCAGGTAGGTGAACCCCACGACCAGGTAGGTGAACCCCACGACCAGGTAGGTGAACCCCACGACCAGGTAGGTGAACCCCACGACCAGGTAGGTGAACCCCACGACCAGGTAGGTGAACCCCACGACCAGGTAGGTGAACCCCACGACCAGGTAGGTGAACCCCACGACCAGGTAGGTGAACCCCACGACCAGGTAGGCAGCAGGAGGGCCCAAGCTCTGCCCTCAACCAGCAGTTGCCCATTGAAAGGGAGGAAGGTAACTTACCCATCAGTGTTGAATTGCTGTTTAACCTGTACGTAGGTGTGGGTGGGTATTGACAGGTGGGTGTGGGTGGGTATTGACAGGTGGGGTTGGGTGGGTATTGACAGGTGGGTGTGGGTGGGTATTGACAGGTGGGGTGGTGGTTGTATGGTGGGTATTGACAGGTGACAGGTGGGGTGGGTGGGTATTGACAGGTGGGTGTGGGTGGGTATTGACAGGTGGGGTGTGGGTGGGTATTGACAGGTGGGTGTGGGTGGGTATTGACAGGTGGGTGTGGGTGGGTATTGACAGGTGGGTGTGGGTGGGTATTGACAGGTGGGTGTGGGTGGGTATTGACAGGTGGGTGTGGGTGGGTATTGACAGGTGGGTGTGGGTGGGTATTGACACGTGGGTGTGGGTGGGTATTGACAGGTGGGGTTGGGTGGGTATTGACAGGTGGGTGTGGGTGGGTATTGACAGGTGGGTGTGGGTGGGTATTGACAGGTGGGTGTGGGTGGGTATTGACACGTGGGTGTGGTTGGGTATTGACACGTGGGTGTGGGTGGGTATTGACACGTGGGGTTGGGTGGGTATTGACAGGTGGGGTTGGGTGGGTATTGACACGTGGGGTATGGGTGGGTGTGGGTGGGTATTGACAGGTGGGTGTGGTGTGGGTATTGACAGGTGGGTATGGGTGGGTATTGACACGTGGGTGTGGGTGGGTATTGACACGTGGGTGTGGGTGGGTATTGACACGTGGGTGTGGGTGGGTATTGACACGTGGGTGTGGGTGGGTATTGACACGTGGGTGTGGGTGGGTATTTGACCGATGAACGAACGAAGGTGATCTCCAGGCTAATTTCCCCCCCCCCCTGTTATCTTGAGGTTATCTTGAGATGATTTCGGGGCTTTTTAGTGCCCCGCGGCCCGGTCCTCGACCAGACCTCCACCCCCAGGAAGCAGCCCGTGACAGCTGACTAACTCCCAGGTACCTATTTTACTGCTGTATTTCCCCTTCCGTCTCTTCCCTCTCTGTCTCTCCTTTCCCTTACTCTTTTCTCTCCAGCTAAGCACTCGATACCTGCTTGATGGGGTTCTGGTAGTTCTGCTGCTCCTCAAGCCTGGCCTCGACTTGTGAGAGCTTGGTCCAACAGGCTGTTGCTGCTCACTATTTACTACAGGGTCTGCGTGCCGTGTGCGTCCGCCCGGAAGTCTCCGATGGAAGTGTTGACTGTAGACAATATACACGAGACGCAAATTTGGCGTCAGACGCAAGGGTACAAATCAAGACTTGTTTACAAGCAACTGTACCCAGCTTATTAGTGGAATTAACACAGTGGCGCCATCTTGGAATACCACATGCGCCATTACAAGGGAATTTCCACACGATTGTAATAATTTTATAAATTCTTGAACAATAGCATTTGTCACTGGTAATGTGTGGAGAGCTGAAGGTAATGCTCTGGTGATGACGCGACAAATTCTCAACATTATATATTTAAAATGAAAGGTAAAATATATATCTTCTCAATCGCTATTGCACCACTTTCTCACCTTTTTCTCCTACTCCCACACTCCCTCCCTTCTCCATCATTCCCATCTCTCCCTCACTCTTCCTTCCTCACTATACCCCCCCTCCCTCTCCCTCCCCAGGTGTTGGGGAGAGCAGCCCCCTGTATAGTGTATACCAGTCTACACTATATAGGACTAGTATATAGAGACTGTGTAGGTATGGTGTTGTTGGACTTAAGGCTTGTCACCCTCTGGAGGGTTAAATTAAGGCCACCACAATAGCCTTCTGACCAACCAGCAAGTATGCTTTAGCCTTGAGTATAGTCCAAGACTTAAAGTAAACTCTTGATGCCGAGAAGCGAGGGTACACCTATGTGCGTATGTACACTAGACGTGTACACCTAGACGTGTACACCTAGACGTGTACACCTAGACGTGTACACATAGACGTGTACACCTAGACGTGTACACCTAGACGTGTACACCTAGACGTGTACACCTAGACGTGTACACCTAGACGTGTACACCTAGACGTGTACACCTAGACGTGTACACCTAGACGTGTACACCTAGACGTGTACACCCAGCTACAAACGGTACACACACCTGTGTGTTACAGGTGTGTACAGTTTTGGAACGCTGTGACACCTCTTATGTTTCATGCTGTTTTGTCCCTGAAATTCAGGTCTCCTTTTCCAAATAATAATTCATATATTTAACCTCGAAGCATGGAGTTGGCGGGGAAGGTATTGGGGCAAGGGTAGGGAAGGGAGGGAAGGAAGAGGGGGAGGGTGAGAGAATGAGGGAGGGAAGGGAAGGATAGGTAGGTGACTCGCAGGTAAATGTTGACTACTGTTTGTTTAAGGGTAAAGGGTCAGGTCTTCTGTCCTCTGAACCAAGACCCAGCCATTGGTGGGGACAGGGAGCTCTGTGGGTGCTGAACTGAGCTCTGTGAGCAGTGACTGGGGCTCTATGGGTGCTGAACTGAGCTCTGTGAGCAGTGACTGGGGCTCTATGGGTGCTGAACTGGGCTCTGTGAGCAGTGACTGGGGCTCTATGGGTGCTGAACTGAGCTCTGTGAGCAGTGACTGGGGCTCTACGGGTGCTGAACTGAGCTCTGTGAGCAGTGACTGGGGCTCTATGGGTGCTGAACTGAGCTCTGTGAGCAGTGACTGGGGCTCTATGGGTGCTGAACTGGGCTCTGTGAGCAGTGACTGGGGCTCTATGGGTGCTGAACTGAGCTCTGTGAGCAGTGACTGGGGCTCTACGGGTGCTGAACTGAGCTCTGTGAGCAGTGACTGGGGCTCTATGGGTGCTGAACTGAGCTCTGTGAGCAGTGACTGGGGCTCTATGGGTGCTGAACTGGGCTCTGTGAGCAGTGACTGGGGCTCTATGGGTGCTGAACTGGGCTCTGTGAGCAGTGACTGGGGCTCTAGTGAGCTCTGTGGGTGCTGAACTGGGCTCTGTGAGCAGTGACTGGGGCTCTAGTGAGCTCTGTGGGTGCTGAACTGGGCTCTGTGAGCAGTGACTGGGGCTCTAGTGAGCTCTGTGGGTGCTGAATGGGGCTCTGTGAGCAGTGACTGGGGCTCTATGGGTGCTGAATTGGGCTCTGTGAGCAGTGACTGGGGCTCTAGTGAGCTCTGTGGGTGCTGAACTGGGCTCTGTGAGCAGTGACTGGGGCTCTAGTGAGCTCTGTGGGTGCTGAATGGGGCTCTGTGAGCAGTGACTGGGGTTCTATGGGTGCTGAACTGAGCTCTGTGAGCAGTGACTGGGGCTCTATGGGTGCTGAACTGGGCTCTGTGAGCAGTGACTGGGGCTCTAGTGAGCTCTGTGGGTGCTGAACTGGGCTCTGTGAGCAGTGACTGGGGCTCTAGTGAGCTCTGTGGGTGCTGAATGGGGCTCTGTGAGCAGTGACTGGGGTTCTATGGGTGCTGAACTGAGCTCTGTGAGCAGTGACTGGGGCTCTATGGGTGCTGAACTGGGCTCTGTGAGCAGTGACTGGGGCTCTAGTGAGCTCTGTGGGTGCTGAATGGGGCTCTGTGAGCAGTGACTGGGGCTCTAGTGAGCTCTGTGGGTGCTGAACGGGGCTCTGTGAGCAGTGACTGGGGCTCTAGTGAGCTCTGTGGGTGCTGAACGGGGCTCTAGTGAGCTCTGTGGGTGCTGAATGGGGCTCTGTGAGCAGTGACTGGGGCTCTAGTGAGCTCTGTGGGTGCCGAACGGGGCTCTGTGAGCAGTGACTGGGGCTCTAGTGAGCTCTGTGGGGTGTTGAACGGGGCTCTGTGAGCAGTGACTGGGGCTCTAGTGAGCTCTGTGGGTGCCGAACGGGGCTCTGTGAGGACTTTGACGAGGCCTCCTGGCTGGTGGTGTGGTCAACCAGACTGTTACATGCAACTGCTCGCAGCCTAGCGTATGAATCACAGCCTGGTTAATCAGATATCACATAGAGGTAGATATCACATGTGTGTACTCATTGAACATATCAAGTTCTCTTTTGGAGACGTGAGAGAGCGGCCAGTTATGTCCCCTAATGTGTAGAGTGAATCTTGGAGCCTTGTTCTTGATGGAACATCGTACTACGTCCTGTAAATTAGACTGTTGGTGCTGGCAGCCCGCCAGCAAGCTAGTAAGCATAAGCCTCAGGAGCTAGTTGATGAGCCAACTTTTCTAGAAACTTTTAAAATTTCCTCTTGGGTTTTTTCAGTCGCGGGCTGGCTATATTTCTCAAAATTTTCCAGTAATTGGTTGAAAAGTAAAAGGACTTCGAAAGTTAGCAATTTATTATCACATTATGCCAGTTAGTATACCTGGAGTTTACCTGCAGTGGGTTCTGTGGGTTCTTTCTATTCCCCCCAAGCCCGGTGGTCCCGGGTTCGATCCCGGGCGCCGGAGAGAAACAATGGGCAGAGTTTCTTTCACCCTATGCCCCTGTTACCTAGCAGTAAAATAGGTACCTGGGTGTTAGTCAGCCCTCTGGCCAAGCTTGACCGGTGATTACCTTACCTTGAGGTTACCTTGAGGTGCTTCCGGGGCTCAGCGTCCCCGCGGCCCGGTCGTCGACCAGGCCTCCTGGTTGCTGGATTGATCAACCAGGTCAACCTTAACCAGGTTATTACCGGTCAAGGTCAGACACTTCTTACAGGTCAAGGTCAGACACTGCTTACAGGTCAAGGTCAGACACTTCTTACAGGTCAAGGTCAGACACTTCTTACAGGTCAAGGTCAGACACTTCTTACAGGTCAAGGTCAGACACTTCTTACAGGTCAAGGTCAGACACTTCTTACAGGTCAAGGTCAGACACTTCTTACAGGTCAAGGTCAGACACTTCTTACAGGTCAAGGTCAGACACTTCTTACAGGTCAAGGTCAGACACTTCTTACAGGTCAAGGTCAGACACTTCTTACAGGTCAAGGTCAGACACTTCTTACAGGTCAAGGTCAGACACTTCTTACAGGTCAAGGTCAGACACTTCTTACCGGTCAAGGTCAGACACTTCTTACCGGTCAAGGTCAGACACTTCTTACAGAAAAGTGTCTTTTGTTTGTCGTCAATACATCGACCTTTCTACCAGGAATATTTTGTTGTGGGTGCTGTGAGGATATAGAATCCGTGTGGACCTTCAGTGCTCATACAGTGTGTCCAATGTGTGTGTTTCCGCTTAGTAGTAAATATGTACCTGGCTGTTAGTGTCGTTATGTGGAGTATGTCTTCAACAAACCTTAAAAGCTACCTGTCCCCATGCCATGAAAATCTATTCCATTACCATAAGAGCATTACATTACCATGAAAACCCCATTACATTACATCTATGGAGACTAATTCTTCACTCGCTATCGCGTCTCTCACTCCGTTATATCATTTCTGACTGAAGGTGCTATCGGAAACTTGCTATCGGACAATACTAGTATATTTTCTTTAGAGTTAGAAGGGGGGCGTAATGCCTTGAGTTCTTCTCCTAGCAGACCAGTAACATGCTATGCGCCTGGAGCGCTCTCCTAGCAAGATAGCAGCATGCTATGCATCTGGAGTTGCCGGGGCCTCCTAGCAGGCCTGTAACAGGATATGTGCGGAATATCACGCCTATAGCGACCTGTGGCTGTAATTAACCGGTTTCCTCCTCATGTCAGATATCACGCCCTAAAGAGGTCGTCACCTGCCCGTGCCAGGTCTTAGCATGCCGTTATCCTGCTGTCAGCTATCAGGTTATCATGCCTCGGGCGACTAAATTGTATGATACCTAACAAATTTATCCGTGTCCATGGAGGACAGAATATTATATATATATATATATATATATATATATATATATATATATATATATATATATATATATATATATATATATATATATATATTAATAATTCTAACACGAATTTTCTCAATCTTTCGTACATTACGCTTCACTGTTGGAGGTAAATCAAAAATCACTTCTCCAAAATTCATTTTTATTTCTAGTCTGACGCGACACGGGCGCGTTTCGTAAAACTTATTACATTTTCAAAGACTTCACAAATACACAACTGATTAGAACATATCTCTGATTTTATATCTACATTTGAGTGAGGTGAAAAATTTATCGATGAGAAATCATCGATAGATACAGCGATAGCAGGCGGCTTGACGTTTGCGAGGCACTACACATCAAGAAGTCAACACCAGCAATCAACAGCCAATTATTGCACAACTATATTCTACCCACCTCAAGACTCCGCTCCAATATAGAAGCATCAAGAAATATGGACCAATAGGCTTTCTACAAACACTTCTATTCAATACCCATTGTTTCTGTTCTGTCTTGTGTTGATACTTTTAATACCCTATTAATATCCCCTCCTGTTCTGTCTTGTGTTAATGCCACATCACCCTTACCACCTCACTCAAATGTAGATATAAAATCAGAGATATGTTCTAATCAGTTGTGTATTTGTGAAGTCTTTGAAAATGTAATAAGTTTTACGAAACACGCCCGTGTCGCGTCAGACTAGAAATAAAAATGAATTTTGGAGAAGTGATTTTGATTTACCTCCAACAGTGAAGCGTAATGTACGAAAGATTGAGAAAATTCGTGTTAGAATTATTAAT